GCATGAAAACCTATATTGTTGATTTATTGCCCTTCATAAAAGCAGTCCCGATACAAATTGTGCTACGTTGGCGGTGTGCAAATACCCCATCCGATGAAAAAAATGCATTATTGAACATACATCAACCGTGGGATTGTTATATGGACCAAGTTTTAACGTTACGATCCACACTGGCCGCGTTTTGCTTAGTGCTATTTTGGTATTGTAGCATTTTATTTGATTCCCAACGAAATTTGACAAATACTTTATGTGCGCAATTTGATTTTGGACACTTGACGCGTATCATCATTGCCAGCACTTGATTTGATAGCATTTCGGTAATCTAATATAAGTACTGAATTTTTTGTCGTTCTTATTAACACCAGACGGTGATAAAAGCCTACGCAAACAACTTTTATTAAAAGCTGTAAAAATGCCACATAAACGTGAAAAAGTGTGCGAAAGAAATCAGAGAAGAGTTTGCGTAACGTAATCCGATTAAAATCGGGCGCGTTAATAAGCTAATTGAAATCGCTTTTTATTCTGTCAAATTTAGATTACCATGTTAAAAATATCGTATTATCTTTAAAATGCGCACGTGCATGTGTGGTATGAAAAGCGACTGGTTACTCGACAGAATAATTCCAGTGGGGATTGATGTATCAATCAAAATCGTGGATTTCGCCGGCTCGTGCCGCATGACACGTTCCGTTTCCATTCCGTTTCATTCCATCAGTCTGAAAGCGAATGAAGCACATACGCTCACATACACATACGCCGACACACAATGCTCAACCTTCACATGTTCGCTTCTTAAATGTTCAAAGCCTGGCTCAAATAATCAATGCTTACGTGCTGCAAACTGTAGTAGCGACTAAATCGAGCCAAACTAAACATAGCGAAATAGTAGAGGTGGGAATTGGAGTAAAATGTGAAAATGTTTGAAACGTGCTAGATAAGCGAAAAATGTGGAAAATCCACATTAGACAAATAAGCGTTTATGAGATCAAAATGAACATTTTCTGAATAAGAAAAATTTGTATTTTCGATTAGCTATAGACTTTGTTTATTGTGTAAACTTTTCGAGTATGTTTTTTTTTATATTGTGCACACTTTAAGCATAAAATATTAAAATCCCTGGTGGGAAATTAAACCGGAAATTGAAAATCACAAAATCCCTGGGTTTGGGCTCATCCGTTCGACTACCTACTACATTTGCTATGAATAATAAACGCGGCTTTTAAACAAGGACGGAAGTTTTAAAACTAATAACGAAATTTTATCTTTTGGGGTGATTTATCGACTACTAATATAACGCAAACTTAAACGTGAGACTATGTAGAACAAAATTACAATCTAACTGCTCAATTTAGTTAAAATTTTATTTTTTGTATTTTTTTATTTGTATTTCCTAAGCGATTTGTGTGAAATTCGAAACTAAAGTAAAAGCGCGTACCAGCCGCGATGATTTCCCATGCGGAAGTTTCTGCAAACACGACCTTCAGAAATGTAATATTCTTCAAACACCATGCCAAGCGGCCCGCAAATGTGAAACGAACAAAAGCAGAAATCGTGATGAGAACGATCATTATTATTATGATTATTATCATTCCAATCGGAATACACTCGCGCCGAATAACAAATGCAAAACTTTGCTCACCACGGTTTGCTTTCGCATTCAATATTCGGAATTCAGTATTCATCATTCGCAATCGGCATTTTCGGCAACCTGAAAATTGAATATCGATCGCTCCCGTTTTATATAAAATATTAATAAGAGTGGCGACCTGTAGCGACACGCGCTCTTCGCAACAGGAAGAACCGGATGAAACATTAAGAAAATCCGTGACACGATAAAAGGACAAATAGGAAGTGCTCGGGGGGCTTGATTCTGTATTCTGTAACGATGCGCCCAAGTGTGAAATTTGCGTGCGCGAGTCTCAAACACGAAGACGGTGTGCGATCACGCGAATTACTCGTACTGAATTGATTTGTTTCGCCAGGCCGAAAATCAATTTAACAATTCGGCGCAAAATTTGAAAAATCTACAAATCCATCCGGTAGATTTGCGTAACACGTTCGTTTAGAACGAAAAAAAAAAGTTGTGTCCTTGGTGAGTTTTTATAAGGAGTAGACGTGATTATGTGTCATTACAGTGCGCGTCACGCTCGACGTCTTCGTTTGACGGGCGAGCTAAGTTCGGAAAATTTCGCAATTTCGTATCATTGCGCACCAGCGCAATAAAAATGCAAAATACATAAATTCTACGTCGCTCCATCGCTCCCAACGCCGCCGGTATCCACTTTATTGCTTCCTAGGAGCTTTTCCACCTCGCACGCGTTAGATCGCAACTATTGGAGGAAAATCAACGACACCTTGACAATGATCCAGCGAGTAAGCCATTCGATAGAAATTGGTTTGTGCAAAAGTGCATAACCGTGCACGCGAGTCATAAAAACTGACAATTTTCTTCATACACTTTTCTTTGAGCATACTCCTTATTCGCGTTTGCATTTATTTTACAGCGTACTCAAGACGAAAACATAAGACATACAACCGAAATTTACATTTTTTATGTGACAATTTGTATGACAACACAAGGCGTCGTCAAGCTGAAGCATCCCATCGTTTTCACATTCAATTGTCTTGTCACATCTTTTTATTAGATTCTCGACGCCATGTTGCGTCATCGCAACATCACGCCTATACATTTACGTATGACGAATAAAAAATGCAAAAAAAGAACGCGAGAGGTTTGTAACGTCTGTTGCCAACACATTATTTTTAGGTTATGTAAACTATGTAAGGTTATGTCGAAACAATTTTGAGATGGGTCGGGGGGTGAATTTACATCATTATCCTACGCGTTTAGAATACTAGTTCCTTTTTGAGGAAAGGGAAATAAAAAACATTTGTGGGGCTGGGAAAACTTGTGATGCCTATCGGGAATCCAGTTACCCATGGATCGTTTTTCAAGTGTCGCATTATGTGACAACAGGCCTAGGGTTGGTAGATAATCTCAATTACTTACTATTATACTTCTGGGCGGTATATAACTATAAAATATCAAAAATTATAAAGTGGAATATAATATCTTCTATATGCTCTTGAACTTCACAGTTCAAAGCATCAAGAACCACGGAGATCCGCTTTAAAAGCCTTTCGAATTTTTACACCTTGGAAATTATGCTGGAAAACCTAAGATAACATAAGCATAGGTGTTTCGCCCAACTGCAGGGACGAAGATAAGACGAAATAAAACGTTTTACCACCCCGGGTCGTCATCGTGACATGACGAGTCACACTTGAGCTTAAACCTTCTGTTAAGAGGAGTTTTTTCGTTGCTTTTCTTCCCAGTATTTTTCCTCGCCTTCTTATCTCGACACACCTCTTGTTGGAGGATCTGGAGGTGGGATTGTGTTGGCTTATATCTGGCGGATGTCGTTACATACAAACACACGCGAGCGGGCGGAAGATAATCGATAAGGATATAATGTTCGACAGTGATTTATGTTGCAGCGTATCCGTTTATTTATATTTTTTGTTGCGGCACCTTTGAGGCACGCTACAGTCGCAAACACACTCCCATGGGCCTTACTGTTTTTGTACTCGGCCCTTATTTTTTATTTTTGTTTGCTTTCGGCTATAAATCTCTTAAACTCGGAAGAACGCTACGAAAAGTGTCATCTACATATGATTAATTACCACGATATAGACCTACACATCCAATTTATTAATGAACCCGAATTTGTGACTGGGAATTAGAGGCAATAATTAGGTGTCTTCATCGTTTCAATTTGTACCTCTAATTATGCAAGCGTGTAGCAACTTGAGACGCCGTTTATGATTCAATTAAACTCAACAGCCACGCTTGCATGTTTGGCTGGTTGGTGTATGTACAATGCTTCGTGTGAGCAGCCTGAAGATGGATGTAAACATCATTAGAGATTGTTGTTAGCTCGCGTTTCAGTTTTGGGCGCTGCCTACGCTCATCTTCGCGTTACACGCTCTCAACAGTGCACCACTACGTATCAGTGGAACATTGAGAACTGGAAACCACAGTTCTGCGAGAGGTTAGATCAGACAAGACTAGGCTAGACAAGAATGTCAAGAGCAGTAAGTTGCCTTCGATGTTTGCCCTGACACTAAGTCATCCGAAGGGCTTGAAACTCGCAAAGCTTTATTAGGCTCGAGGGCAAGTTTTGACTTTGTGTCTAAGACACACATTGTTTCGGCATCCAGCGAGTCATATACTTACAAGTAGACTGAAGCCCCTGCAGGGAATGTCACATTGGGTTCAAAAACATGCCCACACTGATTAGAAGATGATAAGTCTTTGAAACTAGATAAGACCTAACAAAACATTTGGAAAACTTTAGTACAACATGGGTCTAACCTTGATAAAAGTAGTTAGACCACAATTTAAGCACCGAATTATGATTGTAACACGTTGCGTGGTACTTCACCAATGTAATTCATAAATAACTCTGAATGAAATTGGTGTTTACAAAGGTCACTATATGACCATGGTCAGATTCCGGATTTTGATTGTGGTTCCGTATGAAATTGCCTCGCAATTGAGTCGCAGACTCCCCGGCACGCTGCCAACCGCGATAATTAACAAGCCTCACCTAATAAACGCCTGGTCGGGGGGCGCTTTATTGGGTCGGTATTCTGCGCGCGCATAATTCGCTCGCATCAAGTCATCCATGTTGTGATTGGTAATTACCACCAACTAAGCCACTGCATGCCCGCTTCCCCAACGGTTACATGTATGCAGTCCGAATTGAATTAGAGGTTTAGTGTATACCACTAATTAATTGGATGTTGCTAATTAGCTAAAAGTTTAATATCATTGCGCACCAATATTGGTGATGATGCGATCCAATTTGGAAGCGCTGTTTGAACTGCTCCAAGTTGGAAGTGATTTGAACCCCCACCGGACGGTATATAGTGAGTTGTTGTGTTGAGCTTTCACGTCACGTCTGTTGGCGAAATTTTCCTTAATGTTAGCGGTTCAGATTCGGACAGGCTGGTGTTGATGTGCATGTTCGACACGACATGGAAGGCCCGCCGGGCAGTGTGGCCGTGATGCAGATCGTCTTCCTGGTCAACGAGGGCGCCCTCATTACGGCCACCGCCGAAAATACCATGCATTTGTGGAACTTTCGACAGAAGATACCACAAGTTGTGCAGAGTCTTAAATTTCAAAAAGAACGGTAATATTTTTACATTTAAAGTTATTAGTAGAGTTGTTTAATTGATGGTTGATTACTTACAGAATAACGTGTATGCACCTTCCTCTTCAGTCCAAATGGCTGTATGTTGGCACAGAGAGAGGCAACATTCATATCGTGCACATCGAAAGCTTCCAGCTTTCTGGTTACATCATCAATTGGAATAAAGTTATTGAATAGTAAGTGGACATTTCACTTGTGCATTGTAAATGTCATGCTAAAATTATATTTTATATCCAGTTCAAGGAAAACACACCCCGGTCCGGTTGTGCATTTAAGTGATAATCCATTAGACGCTAGCAAAGTAAGTAATTTTCCACGTAAATTTTAATATCGCGTAAGGACCTGACACACTTAAAGCTCCAGGATATAAAAGGAAACTTTCACGACTTCCACTCTCTTCTAATACCATCTAACGTCTTGAGATTTTTTCACAGAGAAAGCTTTTCATGTTTTCTACCCGGTAACTTTATAAAGTTTTTAATTCTTAATGATTATATTTAACATGTTGCGAAAATGTAGTTTCAACTTGGTTGTAAAACAATTTCCATTCGTAATTTCTTTGAATATTACATGTGTTGATCAGGCAAAGTAAAAGTTGAAGCCTGTGGGCGGCGGAAAACTTGGAAATAATATTGCCACAACTTGCGCATAAATATTTAAACTTGCAACGAAATCCTTTTTATGCTCCTTTGGCGCACCATCCGTTTCCTGCGCGCTGCCGCTGGCATTACCCTTGAGTTTCTTTCATCCTCATCTCGATTCCCCGTCCTACGTCCTCGTATCCTGTTTGAACCTCATCCCCTAAGTCAACCCTGACTCACGCCAAGCCAATATTCGTTACGTTCTTCTTTCTCGTTGGATTCAATATTAAACTTTCTTTATTGAAAACACATGCGGGCAGATAAAGAACAAATGTATCGGATGAGTAGCTTTCCAAGTTGGGGGTTCTTCAAATATGTACGGGAATTTTAAGAGGTTTTGTTTTCTACTGTTTTCAACTATTTTTGTCTGTCTCAAGAAAGCGAATCATAGAGTGAAGAAGAATCCCGAAATGAGTATCTAATATTAACAAAAAGCAACATGGCGTTTGATCCTCTTGATAGTTTGGAAATATTTCAATTTGTGCTTTCTTCGGTCTGGGAGGAAATAGGTTTGAGTTTCGTTTGTTTTATTACTTTAATACGACTGAGAAACAGGTGAGCCCATCACAAACATCCAACGTCAGATATTCAATTTTATATTTTTATCCTCCTGCCCAGCACTCCTGAGGGATTGGGCCATTTTCCGCACCATTTTTATATTTATTTCCACTTTTCTTTTTTTACATTTTATTCCCTTGCTCAGGACGTTGATGGAATATAAATGAAATCGTTAATGTTAACTTCAACTTGTCGTGCCTGGACCGAAAATTACCTTGTGATTTTCTAAGCTTTCGATTTCTTTTTATACCCGGCGTTACGTGGACGTAAGCACTAATGCCGAATGGCGGTGGTGTGTTGCAGTTGTTAATAGGTTACGAAAGCGGGCAGGTCGTCCTCTGGGACATGCGGAGCAAGGTCGCGGAAATGCGGATCCAGACGGCCGACCCAGTGCGATCCATCGCGTGGCACTACGAGGGTAAGCAGTTCATGTGCTCGCACAACGACGGCTCCCTCACCACGTGGGCCGTCAAGACACTGAACAACAAGGAGATTCACATGTCGAGGCCTCATGGTAACATGAAAATTTCCTAAAAATTTATTCTATCTAATCTGTAAATGTATATTTTCTGCGCAGCTAAAGTTGGCAAAGATGCCAAAATTGAGCAATGCAAGCCAATACCAAAAGTCGAATGGAAATCTTCAAAAACAGGGTATTCTATTAAGTGGATAATAAAAATTGATTGATACTAAAAATTGTTACGGTTTGCATTTCAGTGAAGCATTTGTGATATTTTCCGGCGGTATGCCCTATGACCAATCCGGTAGAACGCCCAGTATAACAGTAGTGCATAGTAAAACGACAACCGTATTAGAAATGGAGCATCCAGTCATAGATTTTATAACGTTATGCGAATCTCCTTACACTAGCGGTGAGTAAAACCTTTATTCTACGTGTCGTAAAGTAAAACTCACACAATGGTTCAGCAGACACGTCGCTTCACGCGCCATTTGTCTTCAATGCCCGTGGTGTAATTATGCCTTGCAATATCTATTCATTAATCGGCACGCAAAGCATTTTCAAGGTTTTTCCGGCTAGTTTACTCAGAAAATCGATAATCCTCGAAGTGGAACGTTCTGTGTCCCATCTTTCAAATTCACTCCTTTATTAGATTTAAACCGGTAAATTTTCGGTTGCAGATTTACAAGAACCGTACGCGATTGTCGTGCTCCTGCAGAATGATCTTGTTGTGATGGACCTACAAACAGCTGGGTTTCCTTGCCTCGAGAACCCTTATCCGATGGACATCCATGAGTCTCCAGTGACATGCTGCAACTACCTGGCCGATTGTCCTGCCGACCTTATACCTGCTTTTTATTCGGTGGGGAGGGCAGGCGCGGCAAAAAGGCAGGGTTTTTCAGAGATGGACTGGCCCATCTGTGGAGGCAAGTGGGCGTCGCCGTCTTGTAGTTACAGTGAAATTATTATGACTGGGTATGTCAATTGTACTCATTTCGTGCATAAATATCTAAAAATATTCAAAATATTTTGCAGGCATGCTGATGGCAGTGTTAAATTCTGGGATGCCAGTGCTGGTACTCTGCAGGTCCTCTACAAGTTGAAGTCGGCCAAAGTATTTGAGAAGCCGAACAAGCGGTCGTTGGACAGCGACGAGGAACCGTTTGCTGTTCAGCTGATCTCGTTGTGCCCCGAGTCCCGGAAGTTGGCCGTGGCAGGCGCGTCGAGTTATGTTATTCTCTTCACGTACAATAAAAAGGATGCGAACGACGATGTCACCGTCCTGGAGATTCCGATTGTTTACGAAAATCCGGATGAAGGGGCTTGCTCGCCGGACATGCAGATAGACCTTTGTGATTCTGACAATAAGAAAGTAAGACATCAGCCAAGTCTAAATCATTTCTAACACGTCATCTAATCTTCACTTGTGCCATGATTCATTTTTTGCAGGAACTAAAGGTTCGTACCGGAAATCAAAAGAAACCAGCGGGATTCCAAGCGCAGTTGGTTTGTATCACACCATGGAGCAATGGAGAACCGCCCAGTCACATCGCAGCGTTAACAATTAATAGTTCTTATGGATTGTGAGTAACTATATTATAATGTTTGCCATTGAGTAAAAAATTTTATTGTGTTACAGAATGGCTTATGGTAATGATGCCGGCATGGTAATAATCGACATCGAGCAGAAAGTCTGTCTACTGAACATTGGCAGTCCTGATCTTTATGGTGCTCAGGATCCATATTCTCGGGCACCTAGGAGTCCTAAGCGAGGCGGAAATGGTGACACTCTTCCCATCGACCGAGACGACCGCCATCCACGCAGTCCGAGCATAGATCAGGTTAGTTATTCGTTGTAAATGTATTTCGCTTTCTTCAACGTGTCCGCAAATTTGGTAGTATAATGCCAAAACCACGAGAACAAATGGCCTCACATAATATTTATACTCAGTTTCCTCAAAACAACATATATCCCGAAATAAAATCCGTTTTAGTAGGTTAGTTGTTAGTTGACTATTAATAAGAACGAAAAACAACGAACAATTTATTAATGCTCTCACTTCTCTTTAATCTCTGCCGTAATAGGAGTTTAGGAACAAGGTAAAACACGTAGTGGTTTTTGTAACTAATTGCTGTAATGAACCACCCGTTACGAATCGTTTTATCCCTTTGGTTTTATTTTTAGAGAAACTCTTAAGACTCATATAGTAGAATGTAATTTTTTGCGTAGTTTTTTGTTCCTTTTATTTATACGTTTTTATTCTCAAACTTAACTTTGGCGTAGTCAACCGTAGATCGATTTTGTTCTTCCAAGTAAACTCCAACAGAAGTAGTGACCTCCTATGATGGTTCAAACAGTTCACGAATATTGAATATGAATAATTCGTGCATTGTTTGTTTTCGATGTTGGTAATATTTGACGTTACGACACAAACAATATTTTATAAATATTATGTGAGGGGAACTTGCTTAAGTTGCGATTGCATTTGGTTGCACCTTTTGATGACTTTAAATGACAGCTACATGAATATTAAACAACTTACCTTAAACTATACAAACGGAAGAGATGATTAGGGAACAAATCGAGATAAATGTGGGAATGCCTTAGATCGCGTCGCCGGATTCCCCACAATCCCCCTTATCAACTCCCACCACGCCACATGCGCCACACTCTTTCGACACGGTCCCGCCCTTGGTGCTAGCCATTGAATCCAAAGACCGGAAGTTACCCGCCGACCTGGATGAGGAAGACGAGGAACCGCAGATACCGACAACCCAATGCCGCCGGAAGTCCTCCGCTTGGAAGCCTCTCAATATCAAACGCCGACTGAGCAAGGTGGACCTCAAAATCAAGTCGACATTCTCCAGTGATCGTAAGCGGGGGTCAGTGTTTCTGCCACGGCCCAGTTCGCCTCACAGCGACGAATACAATTCTGATGACAATACAATTGTGGAGAATGCCATCTTCAACGTCCCCACTCCTTCAACAAACAACACTTCGAATACGAGTACGAATAGCAACAGCAATATGAACAGTTCCGAACATTTGGACGAAGTTGCCGGTGTCCCGAGACCCACCCAATTGAATCTCAATCAGGAAGATGACCTGCCTTTGAAGCCGCCCCGGTTTCGGCGGAAAGATCAATTCCAGCGATTGATGTCAGTGCCGAATATTAAATTACAACGAAATGATCTGAGCAAATTGAGGGACTTGCGCGAAGCGGCCAATCATGTGTCGCCACCCGGCATAGCCGCGGGAGCAAGTGGCTTAGCAGGAGGTGGTGGAACCGGAAAACCGGAACGCGAGAAAGACAAGGCGGAGCATTCGTTTGCCGGCAACCTGATGAGGCGTTTCAGTAAGTCTTAACTTCAGCGCAGATTAAAACCAGACCTAACACACTTTAAATTGTCCACGTCACTCCGCCATCATCTGATGTCGGTTGCGATGACGCTAAACTAACAACCGGTGGTTAAATCTCATCTTATCGCAAGACATTGATGATTAACGACCTGATTGACTTGATTACGCCTAACATTTCCTATTGCGTAGAATTTGTCGTTCGTTTTTGAAGCGTTTATGAATAATGATTATTTGGATAATCGTCTCTCTCTCTGTCTCTGTTCGTCTGTCTCTGTCTCTACTTCTGTATCTGTATGTCACACGCTCTTTTGTATTCTCTCTATTTTAATCGAATTTGCTGAAGCGTAGAATTGGATTGACTTGACATGAATTGGAAATGAATTGACATTAGTCGTAGTTATATATTGATTGATTGATCGCCCCAACAACAGACCAACAAAGTGAAAACTATTTGAAAAAACAACATGTCTACCGGAAATTGAACATTTGACAGACCCGAATACCAACCTATGAAAACTGAACCACCAAACCACCATCAATGAAACGTAGATATGCAAATTACAAAACCACTCAACCACGTGACATCCAGACATCCACTATAGTTTACAGCTTTTGTTTCATTTTGATTCTTTTCGATTATTTCGTTGAATTCTTTTGTAACTTAGTGAAACCGTTGCTTTTTTATGCTGCTTTCGGTTCGTTTAATGAATCTTAATGAAATATGAGATATTTGTATATATATACAGGTTTAAAGAAGCGCATAATTGAATGAATCATTGATTTTGTGGATTCAATTTCTAGGTTATTTGTGAATATGTGTTTTCCAGCGGACGATTTGGGGTTTGTGACTTTGTTGCACGCGGTGGCTTTGGTATGTGCTGGCGGACGAGTCGAGCAGCGGCCAGAGGGCGCGTCGAAGTGGTAAATGATCTTCTTGGAGATCGTGGATTTGTAGAGCTCGTGTGACTGATTAGATATGTTTGCAAAATCTATGAAATCATGTTTCTCATTCCTGTAGCGTCACTCAAATCTCTGTACTTTATAAGTCAGTATGTAGCTTTTGTTTGATTCTTGAGGTTATGAGTGGTGTGCTATTCGAATGTACAACATGGCGGCTTGAAATAACAGTAGCTCACACCGCAAACTTGTAAAAACTGACAACAACGTAGTAGATCTGGCGCTCTGCTTGCATTCGTCTTGTAGCCACCGCACACACACTCACACGTGTGTCATAGATACAAGAGAAAGTGGACACCGGAAAGCATCGCCCACCCCCCTTCGTAACCCTTTGTTCTTCTGATGTGTTCTGATGTGTTGTGTTGCTCTGTCGGCGCGGCCGTGTCTGTATGGTGTGTTGTCTGATTGGCCCCTGTAGATAAACGGCGTGTGCAGCCCGGCGTCCGGCGGCGGCTGTCAGAGTGGCGGCGGTGGAGGCAGCATCGGCAGCGGCGGCATGGGCGGTCAGCTGGGCGGCGGCGGCGGGACTCGCTCCCGACCCGACCCGCCGCGCCGCTCGCGCTCGCAAGGTACTCGCAAACTACACAAGTGCCTCTCGACGGCCAGCTACTCGGAGGAGTTCGCGGTCGTCGATCCGATCGTCCGGCCGGCGCTGCACGCCGGTGGCGGCGGCGTCGGCGGCTCGTGCACGACGCTCGCCAATCAGAGACAGCAGCAGCTGCTCGTCGCCACACGACAGTATTGCAGTTTTGGTAGTACACAAGTCACCCAAAAACCCTATTCAACCCTCCAAATAAATCTGCTTCTTTTACATTCGACGCCATGTTTGTTTTTATATCGACATAACCCGATTCATGATCATCATCATCTCACAAAGACGAGATTTTAACTTTTATGATATAAAAACAAATAATTTATTTGGAAATTTTAAAGCAATAGCAATAGACTAATCTTTCAGGCAGATATTTACAGATAATTAATTTTATCATTTTAAGTTGTTTTTTGTTTGTAAATGAATCGATGGTTTTTCTGCATTTGCATCCGATTCAGGCCACACCTAGTAGTTTGCACAATTTCTATCTCTCTCTCTCTCACTCACTGTACCACGAATGTTTTGGTTTTGACTTTCACGAGTTTCACGAAGATTGACGAAATTCACTGATACCACCAGTAGTGTGCATTCAAATGAACAATAATCACCTAAAACTAAATAAAAATGGCACGTCTTCGGACACGCTGTATAATACTACTTCTATTCTAGGTGTCACAAAAAACAATTTTTAGAAACGAATTATCTATGCTTCTCAAACTCACATCTTAGATTATTTTCGATAATTTATTTAGATGGCATTCTGATCACATCACGCTGAAGAACTCGACGATTCTTTTATGGTTTTTCAGATGATTTTAGCGACATATTCTGCATGCATAAATTTAGATTTATTGTTGAATTTAAGCTGCGATTCTTTCACCGATTTGTTTGTTCGTCTTCTTCCTGTGTTGCGTCGTTCTTCGTTTGTATGTTCGGCATAAGCAGGCCGAACTTGTCGTCACGTTTATTTCCGTTTAGACATTTTCTTCTTGGGTTTCTCATGTTTTCTTTCACATTTCAAAGGTGACTGATGTACTATCCAAAACTTTTCTTGCTGTTCTGATTGTTCACTTTATGATAACGATTGACTAAAATTCGTATTTTTCGCAAAAGAAAATAACACTTCATATTCAATTTGTTGACCTGTAATACCGTTGAAGTTTTATTTTCTTACGAAAAATACAAAACTAAATGTAACCTTTTGCTCCCTCTTAAATGAACTCTTAAATAATTGATGCTTGTTCATTTGATATTACCATTGATATTATATTTACCATAGTTGGATTTGATTGACATTTTGGATTTGACACGTTTGCCAAGTTGTCCATTTTTAACCCATTTTGAATGTATAAAACGCTTTGAAGAGCAAGATGAAAAATGTTTACAAAATCCATGCGAAATATTCCGACACTGATTTACCGCCAGCCCCTCTGTATTTGTGTGTGTTGTGTACTTTGTCCGGAACTTTGTTGCGTTTTTTGTTATTACTTTGATATTTTGTTGTTTATCTTTGTCGCCAGCGCAGACAACTCGAAAGTTCTGTTTGATGTGTTTGATGTTTTCTTTCTTGCCACCAACGCCATTTTGTGTTTCTTCCACTAAATTCCGTTTTTTGGATTTGTTTGATGTTACCTTGGTTGATGTACTTTACTTCTCACAAAACAAAACTAAAAATAACTGCATGCGCATTACATTAGTTATATGAATGTGAATGTGACTAACATTTTGATGCCATATTCTAGCCATTGCAAAACAATTAATCAGAAATATTAATTATACGTGGTTAATATTTGAATGGTTGGAGTATTGCATTCTGCACTTGCATCCGACAGTTAATTTTACATTTTCAGTACCAATTATTGTGTTAATTATTGCATTCATTGGAAAATTTTGATATTTATGAAGTTTGCTAATGGAGCTATTGCTACTGCTTCAATAATTGAGAATGTATATACGCATGATTGATATTTTATGAGCATTTCTTTGAAATGTGAATAAAATTTTGTTCATATGAGTATATTGTATGGAATATTTTCGCAGCGTATATTTATTTTTCATTAGACGAATTCAGGGTAAGGCAAAATATTTCATATATGTAACAATTTTTATATTGCCCTATCCTGTCTTTTATGATCAATAGTAACTTGCATTTAGTTAAATTTATCAGCTTAGTTTTTACTTGTAATTTAATTTTTGAGGTTCTTTCTTTTTCACATAATTTAATATATAATTGTTTTAATATATTTAAATTTTGTAAGAAATTATCGATTTTGTAAAAATTGTGCTTTCGTCGGCGCATGCTTTTGATCAAATTTGTAAAGCGCAAAGCGCGCATTTTCGGTAGAACCTCAATCTTATAGTACAACTAGATCTAACTATTCTTAAGATAAGCCCCAAGTGACGACTGCGTATATTAATCTGTTTTGTTTTTATGGGCCGGGTAGATAAACTCGACAGTTCCTTTTCGCGCTCGCGCTCCAGCTCGATGAGCTCCTTGGAGAACATCACTTCTGAAGCCATCCAATGTTTGGCCTTTGCTGATACTTACGCCAAAAGAAATGGTGAGTACTTAAGACTCATGTTTTATAACATTTTAATTAATTCTTGGATTCTCCTTTGTTTTGATAGATCACAGTTATCTTTCACCCACACTGTGGGTTGGTACCAGTCTGGGTTCAGTACTAACCGTGCTGATATCACCTCCAGACCCAGATAGTAGATCCTCTCAGCCGGTGGTGGTTAGCCTTGTTGGTGTGACCATCTTCCGTTTGAAAGGCGCCATCCGAATGCTCTCATTCTTGGATGCGAGCGGCGACCTGATCCCTTCAAGTTATGAGAAGAGCAGATCGCGTCCATCGTCGGCCAGTCGCAACTCCAATCGCATGAGTCCCACGCTCGGCGAGAACAATCGAGAAAATTGTGACAAACAGTATCTGGTTATTGTCAGCGAGAAGCAGGCTCGGGTTGTGGGCCTACCATCACAGATCTGCAACTATCGGCAACAGATTGCTGATTCTGATTTTGTCGTCAAAGCTGAAACCGTCACCATGCGTGATTCGGTTTGTCTGTTGTGCTATGTCTCCACCGGCCATCTGCAAGTGTACAGCCTTCCTAGTCTAAGACCTCTAATTGACGTGGACTTCCTGCCACTCTCCGAGCTCAGGTAAGGTGTTTCTTGTTTCACTTTGCTTTTGATTCATTCGAGTTCCACGATCTATAGCTGCGCTGCACTCAATTTTCGATTTTACCTCTCTTTTACGAGCATTTTGAGTTTTCCTTGAATCTTCACTCTCACTCTGATCACACCATCAAGTCAAACACCTTACTTGATTAGCGACGATAATTGCATGCAGGACGCCAACTCCATCGAGGAATCATCATGATCGCCATCGAACCCACGACTTTTATTCAACCATCTGAGTGTTATTTTTGCTCTGCGAATTTTGAACATTTTCTATGTATTTACGATGAAAATTAATTTTTGGCGACCAGTTGAAGCGTAGATGTTGATTTCTTTAATGATTGGCATTTTTAATTCTCTATTTGCAATATGTTGATACATAGTTGTCATATTTGAAGTTATATTTGCAGTTTATATTCGATTGGTATTCTTGGTACGTTAACCACAAGCATCATCACCTAAAACAGATTAAAACCGAATAGATTAAACGAAACCACACTACCAACTCACATTTAAAACGTGATTAAACACAGTTTCTAGCGAGACTGCTAAAAGAATATTTTTAACACACGAAAATAGTGTTCGTCAATCCATTGACAAGCAATATTTTATGCAATTTGTATGCTCTTGTTGTGCTAGCTTCCAGACACAATCTAAGAAAGGCATTGTAGACCCAATGTTATCCATATGGGGACAACAACTCATAGTAAACGAGGATACGAACCAGTAAGTCCATACACAAAAAGCAATACCCACTATCAGAAAAATATCTATATATAAAGAGAAAACGATCCGATGTCGAATCCGTGTTCTATTAAATTTAAATTAATCGTTTTTTTATTAATGTCTCGTAACTTTTTAAATGATTTTTGTTGGTTTATGCCTTTGTTAATCAGTGGGATTTGTTTGTCGAGTAATTGTGGCATGAACGAACCCAAAAACCGTGTAATAAGATTTTTTCATATTTTGAAGTATAGTCGTGCCATCTGAAGTTAATCACATTTAAATTAAGCCGAACATGTTTTTTTAACGTGACAGCTTTGGGTGGCCCGACTCTTGTTTTGAATTTTACGATTTTTAATCAAGTATCGACTTTTTGCTTCCAATTTTATCGTCCATTGTATAATGTAATACTGTACTTGTCCCCCATTGTTCTTATTTTTTATGGTAGATTGGTTGGTTCGATTTTGTTTATGTATTGGCGACGATAAGATTATTATGATGCTATGGTATGATAGCCAATATTTATTGATTGTGCGCCTAGAATTTTGGGCTTATTAATTATTGAGCGTGTCACACAGTTGTGGTCGTAGCGATTTCAACATTTCAAAAAAGAATCAGCAGCAGCATCGTCGGCGTGACGCTTTTGTTTTCTGTGTGTGCGAATTTGTTTTGTGATATTTGCGTTCTCGTAGGTACAAATCGCATTTGCATTATGCCGTAGGTAATTAACTAATATGCGACGATCACTAGCAGGTATTCGATATCGTATACTATCTCTGGACGCACTCGCCACTCACCTGCTCTTCACGAAATATTTCATTTTCAACGATTTTACTAAAAAATACGATGATACCTAGATCACACAATTGGCTTCCGTCTTGTTTTTCAATTTTGAACTTTCGCACCAAAACTTTCCAGCTACAATTAGAACAACACGAGTTTCTTGCATGGCGGCGCATTATACAAATTTTAAGCAAGAGAAAAAAGATCATAAATTTACGAAATGCATGACATTGTTGTATTTGTTGTCGATTTAGATGTCTATGTTAAGTTGTCGTCATCATTGTATAAAAAATCTATAGGTGTACTGTGTTTTTGGTATATTTACCAGTGTTTAAGTGAAACCGTTTTGTAGGATTTCGAGGACATTCTGCTTCAGTAATCGAGGACACGGTTTATACTTATGTTCACCATCTGAGCTTCAAAAATACACGGTGGATGCCGAGTTTTGGTAAGGTTAATGACACATTTTTTCTGTTCTTCATTAATATATTGAATTTGTAGCAATACTATTGGTGAAATGGTGGGAGAGCTATTCCTGGTTATCGATATGCCCGAACCACCTAAAGAGAGTTTCTTTAAAGGACTATTTGGAGGAGGTGTGCGACCTTTGGACCGAGAAGAATTATGTAAGTTTATGAATAGACTTGCGATGGCGGTATTTAGTTAGTTCTTTGTTTATAGTTGGTGAAAATAGTGGTAAAGCCGCGAAGCACGTGGCAAAACACATCCCGGGGGCACTAGCGGAAATGAACCAACAAGTAAATCGTTCCACTAACGAGATTAGTAACGCGCATCGCCTCATGGTAGAGCGTGGTCAAAAACTGGGGCAGCTGGAAGATAGCGCCGAGCGAATGGCAAACGAGGCCCAGGCCTTCTCGTCCGGCGCCCACGAACTGATGCTCAAATACAAGGAGAAGAAGTGGTATCAGTTGTGAAGCGTTCAAACACGCACACTTGTTATTGTACAGTATGTCGCGCCATTTTGAAGTCGTTCCGGGCGGGGGCGCCATTTTGACGGAGTCAAACCTGTTAATTATACCCAGCACCGATAGAGACTTTATTCCGTAGTCAATACAAAAACATAAAATTTACTAATCATAATGTAAAATGTAGATCATGGCGACGCACGCGCATGCTGTAGCAAACTATGACGTACTTAAATGCGAATTGTGATATATAAAAATGAACGAAATGGTGAAAAAACATAATCTTCCTGAGTTTCCTAGTTGGGTAAACTATCGTTTAGTTTAAACTGCACATGGTTTATGCACTAATTTATAAAATTGAGATTAGGTCTACCAGTTTACTAAATATTATTGAATCTTATAATAATATAGTTTTAACTTTGAAGATCTTTAGACGTTGATATTGTAGCGAACGGCATGTTGCAATTGCAGAAACACAAAATGGAAATTAAATCAGTGGGCGCAGAACGTTCATTATCACACTGACGAGAGTATATTCTTTGTATTAAGATTACCTGTTAAGAATTAAATGTATTACTAAGACGACATGTTTATTTAGTCTATTTAAATAATGAATAATGATACAAATAATACATGAGTATCGAAATAGTAGCAACATGACTTGGATTACACACGTATTTAAAACTGTAGCAGAAACATGAAATGAAGCCTTGTTAACGCATAGAAATATTATTAATGGACACTAAGCATAAAACTATCTAAATATCTGAAAAGACCACACTACTGAATATTGATGAACGAACGCTGAATCAAAGATTCCATCTAGAAATTGAAACAATTAACACACATATCTGGACATTAGGACGCCAAACGATGGCATTTGTTTACCCTTTACCCAGATAAAAGCGAAATTTGAAAATTGAATAAAGAACAATGCAACATTTCTGAAAGAACTAATAAATAATGATATATTTGTACATATTTGTTTACTACGTACATACACATAAATATCTGACTAGAGTTTAAGCATTTACGAGTAGCAAATGAGAAAAATGAGCATCTAGATATTAGAAGCAGTTTAGGCAGGCAACATAGTTGAACCATAGTGAAGACGTTCGAAATCATGAAAAAGATTAAATTAATACCTAAGAAAATAATACGCAGCTGTATTGATGCGTAAACTTGCAGATTTATAATCATGCAAAAACTATAAACATAATAAATTCTCACTCCTGCATTGTGTACAAAATTCTTTTTGTTATCAAGTATCTTCAAATTGATTTCAAACATATTTTGTACATAGAAGTGAAAATCAACGTGTCCTACTACTAACATAAAATGCTAAATGAGTATTTTGGGAGACAATAAGCAAAGTGTTTCGTTTTCTTGTTTTAAATTCTAAATCAATCAAAGTCTTTATAAAGTTTTCATACTAACGTTGAACTTCTTAAACTATAATTGTGAGTAAAGGATGGGATTTAAAATTCGTCAGGAAGTCTGATATTTTGTGTATGCCTTTCAAAAGCTGGAACCTGATTTCACACAATTGATCAGTACAATATGTGCATATCAACAAAAATGAAACTATTTTACTATATCAACTTATCAAAACTGTTGTATTTTGTGTAGCTTAGTTAGCAAACAAATATAGTTTCCAACAAATGCAACAAGCAGGAAAATGTTACGATATAATTACATACATTAAATGTCACTTGCAACTATAAATATCAATCAATGTGTAAATGTTTTAAAAAGATAACACACAAGCAGAACGGATTGTTTAAGTTGTTTGGTTGTTCTTTGATGTTGTTCATTTGTCGTGCAACTATTGTTAGTCTTCCTCAAGAGAAAGTACATAGCAAACTATAGTTATTATCTACAAGTGATTGCCAAAGATTAATTAATGTACTTACCGAAGACACGACGAGACACGTGTAATTATTAGATCGAAAATGATCAAATGTGAAACGTATACATATATTTGTTATTAGAATATTAATAATTATATCTATTACCACACGAAGTTACCTAAAAAAAATGGAATTATAATTTGTTTATTACCTATTTTAAAACTTATCGGGCTTGATGTCGATAAGTAAATATATTGTGAAACACAAACGGTTAGTGAAACATAATGATTAAAACTACATATTATAAACAATGTTATCTAAACAATTATAATTAGAATGAACATAAATTTTACTTGTGCGCCATATTTAATGTCTAATATTATGAGTTTATTAAGAATTACAAGCAATCTCGACGAATTTATTATTTGATTTTGTTATTGCGCTGTTTTCTGAAACGGAATCAGGGATGACAAAAAGATTTATCAGGTGCTTTGATAAACTAGCAATGACGGTATTGAATGTAAAGTCACGTTTTGTTTTATTTGTCAAATCTAGTTTATCATTCTTGAAACGGGTATCAGTGTGAGTATTTTAATAATTTGTTTACGTCACAAGAATAATATTACCACTGTACAAAATAGGGATGAAAATGATTAATATGTTCTTGATTAATGTTAACTAAGTGATGACAAATAGCAAAACCGCAAACTAACAAACCGAATAAAAGGAGTGGGAACAAAACAAAACAAAAATGCTATAAAGAAACAAATTTCTAACGTTTTAGCATCGCATATATAAATGTGCTTGCTCGTGGGCGATGGGAAACAGTCACTTTGTTAAACAACACAATATTATATCTAACTTTAATGATGAGATATTCAAAACCAAAAAAAAAAAATGAAAAACGACGAGTGAGATTTGTCCGCCTGTCGAATTAATAATTTAAACATAATATTAACCGCAGCAAGACGCATGAAATATAATGCAAGTAGCCGTTAAGATTTTATTGTGAAAAATGATAAAACACATGATAATACTGTACATACTAGTCTAAACTATGGAATAACTAATATGATAAACATGATGATATGATAATATGATGATATATAATAATGACTTTATAACATTCCGATTAGTTTTAGTTGACTTTACTATGATGAGAAAAAAGTTAGTTAGACTTCTTGAATCTTCTTCTAAACGTCTTTCTCGATAAATTGTTCGATTTCTATATAATTACGATACATCTAAGTGAGTGTTTCTGATTTCGAATGTGAATGACGAAACGACGCGCTTGTGACTTTGTTTACAATCATTGTGTTCTTTTGTTCGTTCGTTATAATGCTAGATTGTTCGATTTTATGTATGAAAAAGATCAATGCATGCGAGAAGCAGCTTTAACTGTTGGTAACAGCAAATGAATGAGAATATATTTGATTATATACGATGTTGTTAAAGCGTTGAAACTGACAGAAACTATTATCTACGATTAATGATGAATTAATTATCAACTTTTAGCTTTGCGTTATTTGTTGAGCGACTAAAACTAGCGAGCGATTAACAGATATCCACACACAGGCGTATCTGAAGTGCGCGGAGAAACTATTTGAGAGATAACGCAACTAAACACAAATAAGAACATATAAAATATTAAGAAAATGTATATGAATAATTATTATTGTTCGTTGAATAAGAATATACTTGTTTTTAAAAGTTGTTTGACGTTTTATTTCTTTTGTTCAAATTTTTTCTATACATGCAATTAATAACCTAATTTCGTAAATATCATTTATAAATTGGCTAATTATGAATGTTGTATGTTATGTTATGTCTCATAACCCTTTCCAATTTCAGGAAGTACCAAAAAAAGTAAATCAACAATTGACTATTGGACCTTGAAAATTCATTTTTTGCTTAAAATAAATTTAGGTTATAACTGTGCTAACACATATAGAATCCTTTAAGGATCAAGGATCTGAAGCAGTTTTTGTGTAGGCCTTTTAAGTTTATTATGTTAAAAACTAATAATGGCGAGCCAAAAAGAACCTTCCATTAATAATTCCTAGTTAATAATTAATATTCTGCCATTTTTTATTGAATAATCTACAAAATGACAATTTTCGGGGTCAAAAATATTTTTTAAGCCAGAATAAAATGAAAATTTTTAAGCCACTTAACAAACTCCACATACCCACAACACACGATAACACTCAATAACATATACACTTAACACACAGAACACCCCCTAATACACAAAACAAATTCAGTTTATGAAGATGCCCTCAGGGCGAAACATGTCAGCTCAATATATAACAGTAAATCCACAAAAATCACGTATAAGTTTTAATAAATAAATATTTTTAAACTATACAAAAATGGATTACGTATTCAACACTGAAAGTAATGAAAGTAATAAAAAAAAATGAAAAATGCTAATCGATAGAGAATATCAATACGATGCAAGATTTCAAGTTAGCCCCAATATATTACAAAATTCTGGTGAAAATTTAAAGAAAATTAATTCCTTCCTCTATACGAATTTGAAAACATTTTTTCTTTAACATTAATAGTTTTCAAAAAAAATGCCAATAACTGGAATGTTCATTATCTCTATAATTTTTTATGCATATAATGAAGCATTAAAATGATTACATTTTTTACGGATTCTTTAAGAAAACATGATTTTGAATAATTTATTTTAGTAAAATTTTGTTAATGACAATTTAAACTCACATTTATAAATAAACAATACATGACTAAATATGGTGATAAATGGGGAAAATTAGCACATAAGCACATAATTGACATGTATTAAAATGTAATTTTAAAGCTATTTCCAAGGGATCTACTTTAAAGGGGAATTAAATACATCCAGAGTATTTTAATTAGACATTGAAAATTTCCAAAGTCATGGCTAACTATTACAACATGTGCTTTGTTCAAGTAAAAACGCCATAAACCGATTGCTCTATTTCATTAGATATCACAGAGTAGAATATCGAACACTTGTGGACAATAAAAACATTGCGTGACTACCTACCCAGTATTACCACCTACCCCACCACCGATCCATATTCACTTAGATTATTATTCTCGTTTAGTATTGATACTAGTTTCATTTTCTTTTTGTACATATTCAAATTCAAATTAGTGAACAAATGTATTGCCATCATGGCGACGACGACTCCTTTGAAACTTCTGTACCAAATTTGTTCATACACGAATTGTTATCCACCCTACAATTTTAAAATTCTCAGTTTGAAAACAGGGAGCAAGCACATTTTCTACGTGTTCTTGGCGATGAGTCTGGTGGTAGCGCAGTTTATTTTCTCAACATACGCCAGATGCGCCATCTTAAAAATGGAATTCTCCATGTTAATAGCAGATACTTTTGCTAACATTTCTCTCTGCGGTTGTAACATTATTAATTGTATGCTGTGCTACTACATTGGAAACAAATACATGAACAAATTAATTTTGTTGCATGCAAGAGTGGATTTTAACACTAACCAAAACCAAGAGAGGGAAAGATCTGCTGAAACAAGTGAAACAAACGCCAGCGCAAAACAAGTCACAGCACAAAATAATTACTATTGCAAAGACTTCATCATTATAATTTTCTGCCACTGCATATTTATTGCAATGATAGCTCTGGATATTTATGTTACATTGTTCAAGTTCAACAAGAATGCAATTTTTTACTATTTCTTCAAGTACGTACAATATTACTGTGTCACATCACAAATTCTCTACACCATTTTTGCAATGAAACAAATCAAAAAATTGATTACATTTATTATGAAAACATTGTTTGATCAAATGAACAGTTTTCTTGTGTTACCTGTGGCGGAAATGCGAGAGAGCAACCAGGGATTATTCACAGTGACGGGATGGACTAAAACTGCCCTCAACACCAAAGCAAACGTCAAAGATGTAGACAATGTCATTGTAGCATCCCATAAATACAAAGATATCTACTTACTATGTTATTACTACAATCTTATATTTGGATGGCCGCTTTTATTCGTCATGGGAGCAGTTTTATTCGAATTGATCGAAACGATGAACTTTCTTGTTCAATATCCACAAAATCATGCAGCGAATAATGTCTGGATGCTTTGTTTAAAGATTTTTACAGCAGGATACTTTTATGTATCAAATTCATGAAGTATTCTAAGTAAATATTATCTAAAATATATTTTGTAGGCTTTACAAACATGGATGATATTATCGTGTGATAAAGTAATTGAAGAAGTAACAGAATTTGCAAATAGCATCTATAAACAAATCTTAGTCATGTCGGATCAACAGGAATCTTTAGCCGAGCAACTGGTATTGAGTGAATTAATATCATTATGGTATCATATTTCCAACAACAAACCACAATTTCACGCAGGATTCGTTCACTTGAAACGCAAATTTATTTATGGATCTTTTATTGGAATATCCAGTTTTATTGCTGTGATTGTTGAATTTAATCGGGTTGTATACAAACATGAAATTCATCACTAAATAAATTTCTTCTTCTTCTTCTTCTTCTTTTGTAGGCATATTGCCTGTTCCTACTTCAGACAGGGTTTAGGTGGTCGCTCCATCTCTTTCGGGGTCTTCCCAGGGATCGCTTTCCCTTGGCGATTTGTCCCTGGCTATTCGGACTATTCTGGTTTCGTCCATCCGTTCTATGTGTTCGTTCCACTCGATTTTGCGTCTTTTGCACCATTGTGTTATGTCTTCTATGTTGTTGCACGCTCTTCTGATGTCTTCGTTCTTTATCCGGTCGAGCAGTGTTTTGCCATCTATGTTTCTTAGTGTCCTCATTTCCGCGGTGGTGAGCAATCTCTGTGTGGTTGTCGTCTCTGCACGCGTTTCTGCCGAGTATGTAAATATGGGCCTGACTACTGCCTTGTAGATGGAAACTTTCGTCTCTGTTCTTAGATGTTTGTTGTCCCAAATCGTGTTCCTTAGGCATCCTGCTATTCTCAGGCCCTTTTCAACTTGCTCTGCTACTTCTTTTTCCACTCCTCCACTGCTGGATATGTTTATACCAAGATATCGGAACTCGCTCACTTGTTGTACGATTTGTCCATCGACTTCAAGTTTGCATCTTATTGGATGTGGTGCGATGACCATGCATTTGGTTTTTTCTGTTGCTATCTCCATGTTGAGGGCTTTGCTGGCAATGTTAAACTGGTGAATCATGCGTTGTAGGTTGTCTTCGCTATCGGAAATTAGCACGGCATCGTCCGCGTAGCACACAACTTTCAGCTCTTTCCCCCCCATCTGGTATCCTTTACAGCGTCGGACTCTTGCAATTATCTCTTCCATGATGAAGTTGAATAGCAGGGGGCTTAGGGAATCGCCTTGTCTTACCCCTGTTCCTACTTTTATGGGGTCTGTGCGTTGTTCGGCTATTGCTAGTTGCAGTTCGTTGTTGTTGTAGATGTCCCTTATAGTATTGATGATATCAGATGCGATGTTTCTTTTCGGAGTATGCTGGTTATGTCTTGGAGCTGCACTCTGTCAAACGCTTTCCTTAGGTCCACGAAGGAAAGAAAAGCCGGTTTGTTCCACTCCACGGCTTTTTCCTTCACCTGTCTTATTATGAATATTGCGTCGTTACAGGACCTTCCTTTCCTGAAACCCTGTTGTTCGTCTGATAGTGTGGTGTGTGCTAATATCTTGTTCGCTAGTAATCGAGTTGTTAGTTTCAGGGTGGTGTTTAGCAGAGCTATTCCTCGATAGTTGGATGGTTCTTGCTTATCTCCTTTCTTAAACATCATTATTAGTGTGCTCAATTTCCATTCAGTTGGTACTCTCTGATGCTTCAGGATGATGTTGATAAGTTTCGTAATTTCGGCCGCGAGCACTTCTTCGCCGTATTTCAGGAGGTCATTGGGTATTCCGTCCGGGCCACTGGCTTTTCTGTTTCTGAGTTTAGCGAGTTCTGTTTCCACCTCAGATATGCTTACTATGGTTGGTTCATCAGGTTGTATGTTGACTGAGATATTAGGTTTCTCCTGGTTTGTGTCCCGGTATAGATGTTTGATGTAGTTTATCCAGGTCTCTTTGTCTATTCCCTTTGCTTGTACCAGTTCTGTGAGCTCTTTTCTCTGGTTTCTTATGGTCTTCCATACTGTCTTTTGGGTTCCATAGAAGTCATGTTCTAGTTGTTTTGAGAAGATCCTCCAGTGTTCGGATTTCGTCTTCCGTACTAACTCGTGCGTTTCTCTGCGGATTTGTTTGTAACTTTCGTATGATTCTTGCGTTCTTTGCGTGAGGTGTTGAATGTGTGCCTGCTTTTTTTCCTTGCATTTCATTTTGATTTCCTCGGTGAACCATGGAGTTCTCTTAGCAAAAGGATTCGGTTTCTTGATGATCTTCCTGCCTAGCGCTTCTTCGGCAGCCTGTTGTATGTTGCTTTTCAGCCTTTCCCATGCCGTATCAACGTTATCTCCTTCTTGTATGTTGTTGTTTGTAACTTTCTCCTTCAGTCTGTTAGCATATAGTTCTCTGGTTGTTTGGTCAGCTAGTCCTTCTGTTTTTATTTTTGTGCGCTCTTCGCATGTTTTGCTTGTTTCTTTTGGAGGGATATTAGTCTCAGCTTCCCAATCACGAGGGCATGATCGCTTCCTATGTCTGCCGAGGTTAAGTTTCTTACATCTAATATGCTGGTTGGTGGAATTACTCGGTTTGTCACAATGAAGTCGATTGTTGATGTGTGTCCCCTTGAGTTACAATACGTGTGTTTGTGTTGTTGTTTGTGTTCGTAATATGTGTTATTTATTCGTAGTTCGTTGATTGTGCATAGGTTAGTCATCAGCGTTCCATTTTCGTTTTCTGTTTCCTCGTTGAATCTCTGCTTAACTCCGGGTATGATTCTGTTGCCAATCCTTGAGTTAAAGTCTCCTAGGATGATAGTCGCTTCGTTCTTATGGCTGTCTAAAACATGTTGCAGTGAGTTAAAGAATTCTTCTCTTACGTCTTGGGGTCTGCAGTTTTCTGGAGCGTAAATACTTATAATGTTGGTGCGTTTCCTGTCTAGCAGCAGTTTTGCGTGTATTATTCTGGCTGAAACGTACGTGATGTCTATAATGTGATCTACTAACTTTTTGTGAAACATGATTGCGACTCCTTTTTTTGCTCGCTCGTTCCTCTCTACACCGCTGTATGCTAGTAGATAATCTCCAACTACTGCCTGACCTTTTCCCTTTTTCTTAGTTTCTTGAAGTGCGCAGATATCAATGTGGTGGTTTCTTAATTCTTGCTCCATTTCTTGGTCTCTTCTGTTGAGCGATTTTATGTTCCATGTGGCGATTTTAAGGTTATGTTTTTGTAATCTTCTCTTTGTCCGTGTACTTTGCTTGGGTTGTCGTCGTTGATCTGTCCGTAACCGAGGCCCTTGTCTGGTTCTATGAGCACTGATGTTTTACGTAGGGTAGGTCGCTGGCCTCACCCTACAACCCTCCTTCTTTGTCCGGGCTTGGGACCGGCGTCGGTGTGTGATGCAGCGACGGCACTAAATAAATTTGATTAATTTTATTACGGAAATTGGAGCACTAAAACAATATACAAACTAAAACATTCTAATAAAATTAGTATAGTTTCATGATTGATATCAATAAAACCAAGCACTGAATAAAAATTATCCGAACACTTGCAATAACTGATAAAGATAAGCAATAACTTCTTCAAGGGAACTTCTTCTTGTAATGTTTGTAGTTCAATTAAAAGCTTAGAAGATATTGAACTTGATTTTTTAGCTTCTTCGTTGACATGCGAACAAGAGAATACAATAACACAGATACCCAACTAAAACAATAAATAATACACAATATAAACATGTTTAAATGATATCATTGATGTTATATTACTTACAATGTGAATAATTACAATTATCCCTAAAATAACTGATATTAAATGTAAATGTTCATCATAATAATTGCATAAATTTGTAGCAGTTTTCAAAGCAACATTTATCCCTTGAATGGTGACTATGATCAACAAAACACAAAGTAAACTAAGTTGAACACCAAAATTTCCACTTGTAATTGACATTGTGTCTGTCAACGTGCTATGCAACTTTATATATGTACAAATCTGCTGGTGTTTTGCTTTGTCCACTTTATCCTTGCTAGCTGTCAATATAGAGTCTTTATATACAAATTTAACAATACAAATATTTAATTGTCGGAAATTATCCATAATCAATCGATTCGTATAAAATATCTGCATTACAACCAACATCTCCAACCATATATTAAACCCAAAAAAGACTCCACTCAAATATTTGTAAACTCCAAGTTCTCGATGCATTGGCGTTAGCAACAAGAATAAAAGTAACACCACAACAACAAATTGCGCTGCAACAATTTCCAGATATTTATACGAATGCACTGTATCCGCTTTCAAAATAACTTTGATTCGATTTAAAGTTAACTGCACATCATCATCACAATGATAGTTAGCTTTCAAAATGGCTGCGCAGTTATGCAACACCAAAATAGAGCTTTGTAAAACATCCAAAACGGTCATAGTAGGTGTATATTTAAAATAAGTATTGTTAAACTTTAGAATTAATATGCCGATTTGACATGTCATCAGGAATATTATTATAATAAAACCATAAAACGCACTGAGTATTTTAAAATTTTTATTAGTCGGAGCACTTAATGCAAAGCAGGTTAATAGTACCGACAGTAATTGATTATCGTATTTAGTCATTATTTGTTATGATTTTGATTCCATGTTAAACTTAACCAACCATGTGCAGTCAAACGACTGAAAGCATTCGGTAGAGCAATGGATTTTTGATTGAGTGAGACAGAGATACATACAAAATTGTATGAAATATTTATACAGAAAAAATGTAATGGATACATAATAATTACATGTTATTATTGTTGCGTTTTAGAGGGCGTTTGAAATTACTAATGGCACGCAATATTCATTTTCGTATTTGTAAGTAAAAGTCGCTTGTTCTGTTTGTATAGATTGCGAGTGTATTACAACATTTATCAATTGTTATCATCACGTACAAGTTCTAGTTCAAATTTATTTATATCACCTATATATAGAAACTAAAGTTAGAAACTTATAGCAAAGGATGTGGGCAGTTAACGAATTGAAGGTATTTATTCGATTATGAGCCAATAATCTGATTAAAGTAGTTTATTCATTACTTTGAGTACCAAAGATAAAATCGTAAACTTTTCTAATAATGTTAATTTGATTGACGTTCGGTAATATGCTATTATCTTTAGGAAATTCAATTAATTTTATATAACAGAAAGTCTAAATTCTTATTGTTGGTAACATTTTCTCCCAAAAATTTCCGAAACAATTTTCCGAAATTTTTAGTGTAGAAAGATGTTAAGCCCCAGAAAAGTAGGTACTTTTAGTTGAAAATAATCATTTATAGTTATTTATAATATAAAAATGAATTGCAAAATCTGTTGGTAAACGCATAACTCAAACAACGCCTACACCAATTTATTCAATTATTTTTTTAAAATGTTTGTTTAAGTCCAAGGATGGTTTTTACTGCAAGAAAAATTTAAATAACTTCCGGGAACCCTAAGGACAGCCTATTTCTATATGATAAAAGTTGGCATTGAGATTCAATCATAGTTATAGTTAAATAAAGTGCATTATTAGCAATTCTATATATAATTAATTTCTTTAAAATAAAATTGCAAATCTTATTGATAGAATTGACACATACTATGTCTAGAACAAGAGAGTAAAAACGAATTATATTTTTATTAAACACAACCGGGGCGAAGTCGCGGGCAAAGACTAGTAGTTATATAATTTAGGCCAAGGCAGCACAAGTGCATTTTAAGAATTTTTCAAAATTTTAAATGTAAATAGAGAATCTTATTGGCGGATAATACAAACAAGAAAGTAATTAATTAAGCTTTTATATTAAGATCAACGCAGACAAAGTCGCTGTTAAAAGCTATTATTATATATTTTATTTTAATTTAAAATCCTAATATAAATTATACTAAATTATAAAAATTGTCAGTGAAACGTTTAAAAAGATATTAATAAGGTTCTCATGTTTGCAACTTTATGCTACCAGAAATGTTATTAAGCGTATTAGTTGTGAAGTTAATGAAGCGTTTAATTACGAGAATAAATCACATACCTACTCTCGAACCTAATTATTATAACATTAAATATTGGTTATTATACCGCCGCATCTATATACTTTATAAAAATTGCACAGCCATACATGGATCTTCCTTGAGAATCTGAATGTTTAACAAGTCAATATGCATTCCTCTAATAAATGATTACATTGGCGTTAAAATATCGCGCACAACTTACATGCCTATAATTTCAAGCTTAATTTATAGTGAAAACAAATAATTAATTTTTAAATGTTTTGATCAGCATAAAAGTTAAAAGGTTTATCTGCAACGCTCACAGTTTCGACCAAGGGTCACGGATCCATTTACGATATTATTATGCGCGCACATTTAATAAATGTGATGGCAACGCCTCACCAACCGACCCTACAATAATTAAGTCGGTAGCGAAAGTAGTGAAAAATGTTTGCGTCAATTGTCAATTAATATGCAAATCGTTATCATCGGTCATCTTAAAATTTCCCACAAAAAAATTCAATCAAGTAATGGTCAAGTAATGTAATTCTGTAGCGGATAGTTAATTTAATTAAATTGCAGTATGATGACGGCGTACGAAACGGACACGCTCGTAATATCGATCATAATGTCTGCGTGGACGTGGAAAAATGCGGCGACGTCGGCGGCGGTCGTCGCTTGCACAAATTGCGCCGCACGCTGCTTGATGCCCTCCCGCAGCAGCGGCAGGCATGCGACAAATACTTGCATTTCCTCCTTCGCGCGCAGATTGTCGGCGGTACGCAATAAAGATTGCAACTTTGTTGCGATGCGCCCGCACGCCGGCAGCTCGCCGGCTGCGAGGTGACATTTCGACGCAATCACGCAGGCGACTACCTGTTATCATCATCAGCATCAACATCAAGACCTTACATTCATGAGAGAATGCAAAACACAAATACTTTCCGAATGGAGGAAAGAACTTACCAAAAATAAAACACAATCGCTCAACGATGCCATCAACGCTGATTGTTTCCATTCTTCTCTAGCAATAAATCCAACTTGCACGTCAAGATATTTCAACAAATTTACGACGCATAGAATCCTCAATAACCACATGAACTTGCTATAAATCTCTAGTGACAGTATCAATAAATCACACAAGATGTCATACTTTTTCATAAAGTATAACATATCTAAATTAGATTTAAAAATTGACGTCTGCATTGCCATCAATTTCATTTTATAAACAGAATTTTTATTAAGATACGATAAATATTGATCCAAATTATTCAATTGTTGATTCAATTTAAGAAATCTCATGTATAACATGTCGTAAACGTAGTAGATTTGTATAATTATCAATCCAATCAAAAAGTCCTGAAATTCTAAAGAAAAGATTTCATAAAAATAAAAATTTAGGATTATTTTTAACACAAGCATCACGTGAATTGTGATAATGAGTGGCAATGAATAAGAGTCGTCAAATTTAATACCAAATGTTTGATTTAAACATTCGTCAATTTCCTGAATTGTTAAATAAAGTTTCACACGACTTTTGCGATGTGTTATTATTGCATTAGCAACTCCTAAAATACAAAAAACATTGGTTATAAACATGATTATTATTTCAAGTACAATTGATACCCAGGTTTTAAGTGTTTTGGATGAAATAAAATTAATTAGTTTAAGAGTTAAATTAATAAGAAATAAAATTATAATAAAAATTGCATAAATGAAGTATAATCCAGGCATTCCATGATAACGTCGAACGCTGGGAACCTCCAAACAGAAAATTTCGAAAATCATGTGTAAAGAATTTAATACTTTTATAAATGCTATGTTAAAACGTATTTTTGTTAAGTTTATATAACACTCTAATACTGCTTTTAGTTTATCGTATTTTTCACTTGGTATTATTTTTATATCGTTTATTTTTGATACGAAACTTTCATATTTTGCTTTTAGTGCTTCCATTTTAAGATTTACTGCAAAACTTGTTTGTTTCCGACAAAAATGTTCCTGTTTATATAATTTGTTTCCAAATCCCTGAAGAATTTGTACATTGGGTTGCCTACTAAGTGAAATTACTTTTTGAATTCATGATAGAAATCAAAAAATCTAAATTATGTTAATTAACTCCACCGCAACCGCACCGAATAGGAAATTATTCATCACCGCGTGAATGGTTTAATTTATACGCCATCATGAGCACAGTCAAATAAATCTTTGGCCTCCTAATCGAAATCTATTTTAAAGTTATGTCTGTCTTTCCAAATCGGTGTTCGCCGCACGTGAAACACATGTCGTCGTTTGTTTTTACCGAGAAAACAGCTTTATACAAGAATACGCAATTACGAAAACATCGCTGAGGTGGAAACAAGGATGCGAGATAAGAATAACGACTGGTCGTCTAATCAAGTGGAAGCGAGTTTTTTGTGCGGAAATATTTGTGTTGTAGCTAGCGCTTGATTCTGACTTTGATCTCGATGATTATTCTGTGAATCAATCGTGAATCAGACTAGAATGGATTGGATATTAATTTGAGCGCTTTTTTCGACCAAATTTATACCTGCATCGAAAATTAAGAAATAAATTTGCATAAATCAACCGTTTTAGAAACAAAAAATGCATAAATTTGTTTTTTAACCAGTAGCTCTAGAAATGTTTTCGGATGTAGATTTTTTTTTTGGTTTGAAATTCATGCTTGATTCTTTCTTGAGTTTTTTTTGTTTTGTGACAGGTTTATGAAGATGGCAGGCCGCCCGCTCGGGTTCATGCGATTTGGTCTTTGGTGGTCGTGGCGATTTTCGTCATAAACGTCCGTCGGCGTAAATCAGCACGTTTTAAAATATTGACGAGACTCGAAACTTTCGACTGCCCCATCGACGACCACATAACTTCTCTAAACAATGCGAAAACAACGAAAGCGCATATTATATTAAAACGAAGAGATGAAGAACCGACGCGCCGGACAAGATAAAAGTTTTTTTACGACTATTGGCGACCTATGAATTCGCTCTTCGACATGACAGCAATACCAAGCGTCGATAAAGCATTGTGATTGATATTATTGCCGGCATAATAACAATCGATTAAGACGGTTCGGGCGGGTTCTCGGCGCGCTGTTTTCTTTTTCAATCTTCTTCTTGAATTCACCACCTACATTACAATGCGTAAGAAATAAAAATGTAAACATCACAAAAAATTAAAATAAAATTATGCTGATAATTAAAACCAACGATAAAATCCAGTGTATCACGTTTTGCCAAATGTCGTAAACGTGTAAACTCATAAAAGCAGCGTGAATAATTACGCGCAAACACACTTTATCATAAAAGGTCACAATGTTCATTGAAAGCCATTGAAATTTAATTAATTATGCCGCACATAACAACCGGCGAAAGCATAAACGTTTCGTTGTTTAGTAGAACAATGAACATTATACATGTATGCTACTTTAGATTTTAAGGTTATGATGATTGCTTTGTTTTTCATGCGGTTTTAATTTTTCCTCTGTTCATAGAAGTGTTTCTTGTTATATACAAATTGATTTAATTTATGTAGATGCATGAAGAGTCGCAAGGACTTTTGCGAACGTGCCGCAATGAATGCAGAGGAACTAAACAACAAATTAGCAATAAACTATTATCAGCGATAATATTCAATAGTTTAAGTACATTTTTTAATATTTAAAGAGTATATAAATAAACCTATTCCTAATTAACGACAATTAAGTCTAAGCCGTTCATTTGGATTGATGTCTGTTAATTAAAATTCACATTCAGTGTAACAATGAGTTATTGCCGGTTTTTTTTAATTACTGCCGTGATTACGATTTGTTTTCATAGTGCCAATAGTGTAAGTACACTTTAAATTTACATTAAATCAAATTTAATTAATTTTGGAATAATTTTATTAAATTTATTTTATAGTTTGGATACTGTTGTGAAGATTGTGACGACAATCCCAGTGATTTCTTCTTGCAAGCATTCTGTGACTTATTTTGTGAAGATGATAGCGAAGAATCTATGACAACTATGAAAATGGAGACCACCACAGCGGCTACAACAACCACAACGACTGCAGCGCCCGCAGCGGGTGGAAACGGTGGCGGTGGCGGCGATGATGCATCTACAACCACTGCTGCACCAGCGAAGAAAAGAAAGTAAAAACGATATTATAGATATGTCTAATGGAGATTTTGAATTTTCATTGTTTCCATGATTATATAATATTATCCAATTTATAAATACACAAAGTTAGTGTAAATTGCATATTATACGAAAAATTCAAAGAACCGACATTAATTTTAGCAAATTTACTAGAGTCACTTAACAATTCTTATCAATAAAAGGAATATTATAATTTTTTGAGTGATTTTATTTTAAAATAATTATAGTATTATAAATTTACGACATTTTTGCCCGTGTAGCTTTCAATAAAAAGTTGCGTTTGGAAAAACGTATTATTATTATTTTTTTAAATAAAAAATATCCAATATCTGAAGAATATTTGTACAAAATTTTATAATTATAGTATAAGTAGTTTCCGCGTGAAAGTGTAACAAACAAACAAAATTACAAATAACCACTTTTTTGCATTTAGGTATAATGTATATATAAGAATAACCTCAAATTTTCTTTATTGTATATTTCAAATTTAAAATTTTTTGAATATTAAGTTAGTGCGTGGCAAATCTGGACAATTTTAATATAAAGATAACAGGTAATGCCTGTTGGTAGTTGATGTGGTAGGCGGGTAGGTGGTAGCGGCCGCGTCTTGCGGCCGGCCCCAATGGGCGATACATTTAAATCCGTTAATATAGGTGAGGAAAGTAGGTAAGTACCGGGATGCGGATCTTACTAGTCAGTGGTAGTATAGTCATAGCAGCATGCGCGGCGCGTCAGTGTTGATGCTGGTGCAGTGTGCAGGCGTGCTCCTGCTGCTCCTGCGCCCGCCAACGACTACCGCGAATAAACTTCAACAACAACCTCCACAAAAATCACCAAATCCGCATCTACAACAAAAGAAATTATTTAAAAACGACGGCAAGTGGATGCAAACGCACGACATCATAGTGCAAACAATTTGCGAGGCGAGATGTTGGAAAAATATTCAACAAAATCACGTAAGTACACAAAAGTAACTTCTGTTAGATTCCAAGTAGTAATTTCACGAGGTAGTATAAAAATGGCAAAGACGAGTTTTTTCCCCTCGAACAAGTCTCAGCGTGCATTTACTGCGTTTTTCTGCTATCGGTTGATTTTTATGTAGGTACATTTTGCATTACGTCAAAACGGTCAGTTTAACTCAACTCAACTTCGCTCAACTTCTGCACCTCTTATTGGTTGTATATAAATGATGTTGTATGTGTGTGGATGAAGGAATATGTAGGATAAAAGGTGACTTTAGCTTAGTCGGCGCGCAACGAGATTAAAACGCGCTTTAAAACGCAGTAAATCTCGCCCGGACTGCCGGCCACGATGTTACGATGTCATAAAGACGCGCACTGGAATTGCGACGCAACAAGCCATGAAGAAGCTGCAAGAAGTCGATAGTCCCAGAGGCACCGAAACGGTACAAACATCTTTGCGCAAAAATCTGCGAAACACTAAAGACTAAAGCATATGAGTGATTATCGGCTATCGGGACACTTATGTGATACTAATTGACAATAGTTGATGAGTTATAACTACTTAAGATGGTTAATGCTAGTGATTGATTGAAAAATTTGCTGATTATTATACTGTCAATTAACGTAATTGATATAATTGAGGTAATAAATTTATTGTGGATATTACTTCTCAGCAGTTTTATGAGTTCGCGTAAAGGCAATGAGTGTATATTAGGATATTAGCGGTTAATATGCATATTAAAGTGAATTAAAGCGCTAAATTTAGCGTGGTTTATATGAATTTGCGATAAGATCATATCTAGTATAAAAGTGTGTGCTAGTTACCCACAGATTGCGCTCTGAAATATGAATATTTGTTTGAAAATCGTGCAAACAATCAATTCGATGACATTGATTAGTTTCTTCATACTTCACGATCTTGAAAGGTCATCAGACACTCTCTGAAAGGGTTATTTCTGGTATCATATGCTGAGATGCCGCATCGCCACACGCACATTATAATAACGATGCTTGTTATGCGTAATTTTATCCTTATACCATCATACTATACTATTTTGTCGAGCTTTACAAGCTTCACTGCGAGTGTGTACCGATTGTGGCTTTGGTTCTTCTGCTCGGTAGGCACGCTGTCAACTTTTATCTATGAGCATCGTTTATAATAATTTATGAAAACGTTTACGCATGATTCCGGCTGAAATATTAGCGAACGTGTCGGCAATAAATATTACATTGTAAATGGCCCGTCCGCATCGGCAAGTCTAACCTCTAACCGCTGCAGCTGATGTTTTTTGCGGGGCCGACGAGCAGCATTAAACGTAATTAATTTTCGTATTATTGCATATTATGCCTTTATTAAACTCTGCTCGTGCTCGGGTTAAATCAGGCGGAGACAAACGCCGATGGACGCTCGCACGTATTCACTTAATCTTCCTACTTGAAATAACTTTCAAATTACTCATCTGAAAATAACAACTTCTTTATGGTAAAGGTGGTTATGTTCGCAATGGCGTAGCACAAGTAGGCAACACACAAAACAAACAATATCAAAACCCCTAAAAAACTTAATTCAACATCATCAATATTTTAAGTTAAGAGAACCGGATGTTCTAATCATTTGTATATAATATAAGTTTGTCTACATATGTAGCCATTTGTATCACTAACAAATCAAAGCCTTAATTAGTAAAACGTCAAGCGTGGCCCGTCGTACGGTTTCTTATATTTAATTGATTAATTAAGCGTTCAGCTAAACAGCGCACACTCGATTAAATTAATAATTTATGTAACCAAATATTTAATTCGAATCGGCGTTAATTAGACTCAATTTAATTAACAAATAAATACTGATATAGAAAAATATAGTAATACAGGCTGATAACATAAGTAAAATATAAAAAAATTAAACGCCTGAATGTTTGCAACCCATTTGGCACATTCCAAATTCAAACCGTGTGTGCACGCCTGTCATTTAAAAGTTCATCCCGATTATCTCGATTTTAATTGCTGATTTCGATCGCCATGCATCGATGCAAATTCGATGAGCTTACGTAAGAGTGCGTACGAGTCAAAGCAAAGCAGTTAACACGTGAGGGTACAAAATGAGCGCGATGATCGAGCGCGCATTCCGCTCATCTCCAGCACCTTATTAATTTATTTTTTGCGTGCGCCTTTATTTTTTTATCAACATTGCTACTTTGATCTTATTTGCCTTCCACGACTGCTTCGCATTCTCCCTATATATTTGTTCTTATATAATTCGTATTTATTTGCATGCATTCAACTCGTTTTTCGTCTTTGGCGGATATTTTTGATCGTTTTCTTTAAATAAGTCTTTAAACTTTTTTCTCTCTTCGCGCATAGCAATAGCTGCAGTGTTCTTATTGCATAGTTGTAGTTACTTTTACTCATCGCAATGCGCACATGGCGCTTTGTTTTATTTGGCCCCTTTTGGTTTTTGCAGCATGCATGCGGCGAGTACGTGCGCAAACTCAACGCCTTCGTTTTGCTATGGCAGCGTGCGCGTTTGCTGCTCGTCTATTTGTAATAAAAATAATTAAGCCAGAACTGGTAACAGTGTGCGCCTCTTCTTCAGCGCCGGCAATGCGTTGATATTAATTGCGAAATTCCACGGGAGTTATTAGTTTCACAACTTATTTTGATTTGCCGTGATTTTTACATTTTTGAAGAAATTCTTTCAAAAAATACGGAAATTGTCAGTTAAGTTGCATACATTACTATTATTTGGGTTGCATAATTCATAGGCGCTTAAAACCCACTGAGTTAACCACACTCATTGGAAATTTAAATATAAATCGCATGTAGCGATACAATAAATTCAAATTTAATGCGGCGTTCAGTCTTGTTAAACTGCATATTTAATTTTTAATGCGTCATCTACATTTACCGCGCGGAGATTTCTGCACAACATCTGCGTGAATTCCGCATTACTTTCGATTTCAGCATTTTGCTTACGATCCTTTTGCACTTGCCGGTATATAAACGTTTGCCAACATGTTAAAATGCAATTAGTTCTTCGAGACGAAAAATCACCAATCTGAGCGTTTGCGGCAAGCTGTTATGCGTGTGCTTAGCAAAATCTATGAGTGAGTCGTCGATAATTTCGTAATTTCAAGGTTCAACTTGTAAATGCATCCATCCATCGCGCGTGTATCGATTTGCTTCTTTGCGACGTGGTGAAAACACTCTTCTAGCTAGAGTTTTGCTACCTGCTAGTTGCTACCTGATTTTTCATTGAGTGTTCCTTACACTTTGCCTCGATTCGATTCGTAAACGTTGCGAATCGCATGTGCACGCGTTTGTTTGCTCGTTATGTATTTTTTGTAGTTTCGTGAACGTTTGGACGTCCGAGTTTGCGTTTTCTCCTCGACGCACGGCACGGCCCGAACATTAAACGCCACCGTGCTCAGCTGTCATAAATATTTCAACGAACTTTCGTGCCTACCGAACACAACAACACGACCACTCAACGCATGCCATTTGAATATTATACAATTTGTTCCTGCATCGACCGAATGTAAATAGTCGTAAACTGCCAAGGATATAAAACTATACTGCGCATGCGCACTAGCGCACAAATCAATTACATCTATTGTGATATGATTGTAATTGTTTTTCGGTGAAGTAATCTCAAGTTTTTAAAGTGTTGGACAGTTTGTATACGCGCACAATGTCGGGAAGAGAGTTCACTCATCGATCGGTGCGATCTAATTACCAGCGGTCGGATTTTACGACCGTAAATTATACGAAAACTAACCCCGATTGGGAAGAAACAATTACTGGGCAAACGAAATAGCAATTTCGTGCGGCGATGCGCGGTGTCGTTAAAATCATAAAATTGTACATTCAGCGATTAGAAGTGCGCTGGGCAATAATAATAAATGCTGCCGAAATGTTTCGAGCTCAACGCACATTGCTTTTTATGTGCGGTGCGTGACTCATTTTAATTATGTATTTACATAATAGGCTCAAACACACATTAGTATACCTTCAGAAGAAAAAGAATTACAGGCTGTGTGTATTTTTGCAGTGCATGAAAACATGTTTTTCAAAAAATTGGGAGAAGCCTGGTTCCTGTCCGAAGTTGATTCAAATCAACGACCACTCCAATAGTAATCATACGACCAACTCACCAGCGCCATTTTATTTACCATGTTTGAAAGAATGTAGGAAAGATTCGGACTGTTCCGGAATACAAAAGTGTTGTAAGCATCATTGCGGAAGCACCTGCCAACCTGCACAAAGCCTACAAAATGTTTCAGGTAATTATATAATCATATTTTAATAAACTATACTTAATTTTACTTACGTATATTAAAAACTAACTTTTGCCCGCAACTTCGTCCCGGTAGTGTTTAATAAAATGTAATTAATTTTTACTCTCTTGTTCTAGACATAGTATGTGTCAATACTATCAATAAGATTCGAAATTTTATTTTAAAGAAATTAATTATATAAAAAATTGCTAATAATGCACTTCAATGCGCCATCTCGGATTCAACTATTGAACTATAACTATGATTGAATCTCAATGCCAACTGTTTTTAGGGTTTTCTCGGCAATTATTCCAATTTTTCTTGCCGTAAAATCCATCCTTGGACTTTAACAAACATTTAAAAAAAGAATTGGCCAAATTTGTTTAAGCGTTGTTGAGTTATGCGCGTACCAACAGATTTTACGATTCATTTTTATATTATAGAAGATATGATTTACTTTAATTTAATAATACTACATTTTATAAAAATTATTATTTTTTATTATGCAAATTATGATCTTCTGCCAATGTAGAAATTCTTAATTTGTTTGCATAAAATTACGCATTGATTGCGCATCAACATGATGCGATCATCAAATACTTCTCTTTGGTTAAACTAAATTAGGAATGCCTCAAACGGCGCTATAGCAAAACTTGGATAGCGATAGTCTATCAGATCATCATATCGCCGATGCAATCTCGTAAATGTTACTTTCGTAATAGGTAATTTATAGTTTTCATCGCATTTATTAAGTAATCCATTTACTCTGCTGCTCACTGCACTCGCGCAGATGCGCGCATAACAAGATCAGAGGAACGCAAAGAAGTCGAAGATCAAACTTACAGCGTGCCGAGATGTTTATTGAAGCTCAGCGTAACTCATCAACATGACATTGAGTATAATTGACACGGACTGAACTATTATTATAAATATAGGTTTCATTAGCTAATTTATAGATATTTAAATTTCACAAATAAACGGAGGGACAGTTTCGCATTCCTGTTAAATATTTACATTTCAAGGATTTAATAAAATAAGCAAATTTTAAATTTTTTTCTGTTGGTCAACATTGTTAAAAGAACAATATAAATTTATGCAGGTATTATTATAATTGGTATTTGGAAGACGTTGGTGGGCTTTTACAAATTCGCTGGGCATTACGGTAGTAATTCTAAATTCCGAATCGAGGTGGTCCATCAATACAACATCAGCAAACAAAAAAAACTTCGTTCGTTTCATGAATTTCTATGGCTTGCTTGGCGCAAGTAAAAACTAAAGAAGGATACTTTCTTTTCGGGTCAACCAAAAATTCGCCTTTCATTCGGAGACTTCCGATTGCTTGCGGTCGCAAGTCAGTTTTGTAAGCTGGTTTTCTGGCGTTTTTCATTTGTGGCTTGTTATGTAAAACGCTACAAGCACTTCAAGAGCTTCATGGGCGGCGGGGACGCGGTTGTCATTCGATATTAAGTAAGAGATGATACTCTTGTCGGGACACTTCTTCAATAAGAATGATATGGATATGATATATTCTACATAATTTTTTTTGGTGTTTGTAAACATCTTTGAAATGAGGAAGCAAACAAAATCGGTATGGGATGCGCGCGGCAAGTGCGTGCGATTATTAAGCGATTACGTAATTATTTCGCATAGTTATCTCGCCGCGCGGTTAATTAAAAAGCCGGTGGTCAGAGTCTGCGCGCTTTTTGCATCCCGGCTCGCGCGCGATTTAATTGCGGAACGAGCCGGACTCATGCGGAAAAAATCGTTTCTCATTAGAGGCATTCCACAGAAACGCGCTCACCCAGTAGTGATATATAATTAATTTTACGCAAAAATGTAACAACTTTAAATGAATTCATAAATATTGTAAAACAAAAGTTTTAGACACCTGCAGTAAAATTTCACGTTTGGATTTTGAATTTACATTGCTAAATGTGAAACGATAGTTATCAACGCAGTTTTTGCATTTCCTTATTTCATATTCTGATTAGGAATCTTGCATGCGATATATTTCGTAAAATTTACAATAGTTTTATTGTATTATTTTCTCGCATGTCTTGATAGACTGTGTTACGCTTATGGTATGATGTCTGGAATGGCAAAGGGGGCAAAACGCAGCGTGTCGAACGCGCGAATAACTACTATGTCGCTGGTAACTGGTAGCAAAGTGAAGATGCAAAAGTCGCCGATTGCGAAAATAAGCATGACGAACAGCGATACCATGGACAAGAATGTTCGTGAGCCACTATCGCACCAAAGAGGCAATTACTAACGAGCTTTTTATAGAACTATTCTGTTCCTTCTTGTGTTTTTTTTGCTTGTTTTGCAGTTTAAATCTTTTTTTTCTTGCATTTTTTCGCTTTTAAGGTTTACTGGCAATTCCATCTGATATACATATAAAACAACGAAAGAAAAAATCTCTGTACATAAAATGGAAACCTTCGTCACTTTTCAACAACCAGGCAATATTTTACATCCTGGAACAACGCCAACAGCATGGACAGTTCGACACTGACCTGCTGAACTTGGCAGAATGGTCAACCTACCTACGCACAGGCAAGAGTTCTGTTTTATTACGAAATTTTGTTCGCCCTGGACGTTGGTATCAGTTTCGTGTTGCTTCTGTTAATGAAAATGGAACACAAGGCTTTTCACAACCTATTACTTACAATGCACAAATTGGTAAGTTATTTAGGAGTGTAGAATATGCAACCAAACACACAATTATTAATTTTTATTAGAGCCAAGGCCACCTAAAGCACCAAATGTGACTGTTGGTCCATTACAACAACAAAATGGCACCCTTTGTGTTGAGTTACAATGGATTAAGCCACAATCAGATGCCCCAGTAATTAAATATAAAGTTTTCTGGAGTAAACGGTTATTTGGTGTAAGTGCTTTGGATTCAGTATTAGTTTTGCAACATTCAGTACTTGGGGTGAGTGTTAAATAAAACTTATTATTTATTTTTATTTCTTTTTAATGGTATTATTTCAGGATGTAAATAAATATGTAATACAAGACCTTGAACCCAATTCAATGTATTTCATTCAAGTACAAGCAATCACACAATTTGGGCAAGACATATTAAGAGGTGAAAAGTCAGGTTATGTACTCAACACCACAAATTATACTAATATAACGCATCCAAATATTGTAAATACAACACACGTAGCACTATTTAAAATAGACAACCTACAATTGCACAAGTTGTATTGGTCCAAGGACGAAAATGATCTCAAAGCACGATTTACTTGGAAACCAAACGGTCGCAGCGTTCGCTACAATATCACTTGGTGGGGGACGTGTAAAAACAACAAAACGCCCCAACCTAAATTAACAGCAACTACACGGGTAAAAACTGGTTTTAATAGTTTGTTTCTATTGTAATTAATTAATGTTGTATGTTTTAAGCATTCACATTTTGATGTGTACGATCTTCATTTTGACTGCCGTTACAAAGTTAACGTGAAAGAAACGCATCATACGCGCCGCTCTAGGGAAAAGAATGTTCAAAAACGCGCATTCTGCGATACGTCTGTGACATTCACGACGCCATCTTGTAAGGATCTACAGGCGCGCTACAAAAGACTCAAGTGCAAACATCGAAAATGAAATTTAACGTTTTGTAATTAGTATTTTAATCATATAATGGCGAAATTACGTTAATTCACGTAAATTATCAAATAGTTAGTGTGTAAATTAAGAAATAATTTTTGTTTGTATTGTAATTATTTATTGTTCTAATAAAACGTTTTTAATTATTTAGCAGAAGCGGACATTAATTTATCAGCAATATTTTCAAATTTTTGAAATTGTTTGGAATTTAAACATTTTATGAAGCTCAAACTTTATTTACGATTATTGCGTATAAAAATAAAATACAAGTTCTTGCACCTCGCAGTTTTCTTAAACCCAAAATAGTTTGTATTCATTTCTAGTATATCTACAAACAATGAATTTAGTATGTTTCATTTTTTAAATTTGTTTATGCTGTTTTATAATAGTATCTTCTGCCTGACATTATAATTTTACAATTTTTGAAATCAAGCACATTCACAATCAATTGTAGTAACAATACTTTCGCCAATCCAAAATTCTCGTAACTCTTTAGGGACAGGTTCAATTCCAGCTTCCTCATCTTCCTGGCGACGTCGCATTACCCATAACTTGAAACGTTTTGGTCGACATTCAAAGTGAGGGCCGCAACCACCCGAGATACAAACCATATCAGAAATATATCTGAATGAAATATATAATCAATTTAAATATAATTTTATAAAACGTAAAATAATGCAACCTTGGAAAATAATCCTTGCCCAAATCAACCAGACGTTTTTCATGACTGCACGAACATGATTTATGGTGCAGGTGATAAAAAGGATGTTTTTCTTTGTGCACTCGTTTAGTAACTTCGTTCGTGAGTAACTCTTCATCATTCATTGCCAAATCATCCGGTAAACCAATTATGCAATTTTTACAAAACGGCTCTTTCGGCATCATTTTGGAGTCCATGTTTTTCGTCTGCTCATTGTAATCAGGTGCGAATTGATTTTCCCAACCTTGTGGAGTCCCAAAAGATGAACTTATACACCATACTAAAAGCTGAAATCATTATTAACAATATGTATTAAAAAATTGCAATCAAGATTTAAAATCAAAATACATACTAATAATATGAATATTTTAGCAAACATGATTAATCGCCGAGTTTGTTCTTGGTTTATGGCGCAAGTGAGACTGCGACTTTATAACACATATTAATTACTATTTATAATTTATAGATATGTACTATATTGGCAAACAACAAAGAATTCGCCTAACCATTAGAAGAGGTAATTAGTGTGGTTTAATGTTACCTTTATATTTTGTGTGATATTAAAGTGATGTTTTCTTACAAAAACCGACAAAACCTTTTATCAAGTCGACTTGCATTACTTTTCTTTATACACAAAAGTGTCAAAAATATATTATCTTTACTCAGAAGTAAGATAAATCCAGTATATTTTTAGAGACATCAAGTTTCTTCTATGAAATAGACATGATGACAAGAACACATCTTTTTGTAGAAATAATAATTTTAGGCAAAAAAGTAAAGAATTAATTATTTAAATAATACTCAATTGAGTTATTAACAAAAAAAAGTTATTTTTGATTGTTAGTTTACTCTGAAAACACAACACCCTAAATAATATTTAACACAAACGTAAGTCTATCAATTTTACGTCTATCGTACTTAAATCTTAATCATTTGTTTACATTCGACTGCGTTTCTTAGTGTTGATTTATTAATTTTTGACTTTGATTATAGCTTGTTACGATTACGAATTTATTCTTATGATAAAATTTCGACGTTTTTTTTATCAACTTATGCGATTTTGCATTCCATGACTCAAATTTCATTAAAAACACAAATAATTTTAGCGATTCATTTACATTTCGTACGAATTGTGATTTGTAAAATATTCATTCGTGTTGGGTTAACTTTTCAACTTATTTCCGTTTAGTTGACATTTAAGGTGATAAATTTGCGACATATTCCATTACTTAAGTAGGTATGTATTTACTAACGATGAATAATTTACGGAGATATCACTTTCATGATAATAAATTGTTTTTTTGTGTTTCTGCAAAAACAATTTTGTCAATCGCTGATAATGAGCCTTGCAAAATTGTTAACGAATAAAATATCTACCGTAATTGCAAAAGCACGCCAATGACACGCCAACAACGCAAAATTAAACATGATGGAAACACTTTCAGCTCAAATAATAGCATTAACAAGTTGTATTTTGATTCTAAGTTTATTTATCAGAAATAAATGGATGAAATATCGAAAATTTTACGAGTTAGCTGCCAAGTTTGAAAAACCCCCTGGATACTCATGTTATCCAATTGTTGGACACGCCCATCACTACGCTAATTTAGAAGGTAAGTGTAGAGATAAAATACTTTTGTATAACATAAAATTAATTATTTTATTATTTTTAAAATACAAATAGATATAATCACAATAGCAACCAGTTTCAAAACCCCATATGGTGTTGTATTTCTGGGGCCACGGATATTTTACTTTTTAAATGATGTGGATTTGTTCGAGGATTGTTTGACAAGCGATAAATGTTTAAACAAACCTTATTATATGGATATGCTGAAGCATGCTGAAGGTGGATTATTTCTAGCCAGAGGTAAACTCAGAGAAATCTATAAAGATATAATAATTCACATCAACTAATCTTGTTTAATATAGGCAACACTTGGAAATCTCAAAGAAAACTATTGAATCCTGGTTTTAAACAACGCATTCTCAACTTTTATGCTGGCAAATTTGCGAAACATGATGAAAGATTATTGAAACAATTGGATTCTAAAATTGGACAAGTTTTTGATATAAATATCTTGTCAAAGAAATTAAGTTTCCAGAAATATTTTGGTAATATTTATTTAATATTAAATTTTTTAAATTAATAAATATGTATATACATTTTTTAGATTGTGCATTTGGTTTAGATTTTGATGCTAAAAGTAATGAATATTTGGAGGCCTTGGATGACAGCGTATCGTTATCAATTGCAAGAGTATTTAGTTTCGTTGGCAGCGTGGATATTCTAAACAAAATTACTGGAAATTGCAAAGCGTATGATAAGTGCATGAAGACTTTAACCAGGATAACACATGAAGTAAGTAATTTTCATTTATTATTATTACTGTTATTGATTTTATTTATTTTATTCATTTAAGATTGTAGCTGAACGACTTAAAATATTACATCAAAAACCTAAGAATAATTCAATTCCTGAAGATAATGATTGTGAGGAGTTAATTTTTATAGATTATATTCTACAATGTATCAATAGCGAGAAGTATGATGAGTCCAAGTTGGTTCCTGAATTAATCACATTTATTTTTGCTGTAAGAAGTAATAGTAATCATAATATATTTATAATTTTATCTTTGAAGTTGTTTTTAGGGAGTTGACACATGCTCATCAACTTTTTCATATCTTTGTATATGTTTGTCATTATATCCAGAAATACAAGTAAGTTTTAAACCTGAAATCATTTGGCAAATTTTTATAACAACAACAACTTATCACTAGGAAAAAGTTTATCAAGAAATCTGTCAAGTTGTTGGTGATAGACCTTTTCACCATTCTGATTATCAACGTTTGCATTATCTTCATATGGTAATTAAGGAAACAATGCGGATTTTTCCAACGGGACCGATTATTCATAGAGAAGTATCCGATGATGTTAAAATTGGTAAGTTTAAATTATTTTTCTTTATAAAATAATGATTTTAATTATGTTTTATATTACTTTAAGGTGATTATGTTTTTCCAAAGGATAGCATTCTACATGTAAACATAATTAATGTACATCGTTCATCAAAGTATTATAAAGATCCATTATACTTCGACCCTGAACGTTTCGCTCCAGATTCGGAAGATGTTAAAACTCGTCATCGTTTTGCGTATATTCCATTTTCGGGTGGTAAAAGAAATTGTATTGGTGAACGGTTTGGAATGTTATCTTTAGTTTCAACAGTTGTAACTTTAATGAAGAAGTTTCGATTCGAAACTACTTATAAAAGCATTGAAGAGATTCGTTTGGAACAAAGGTTTACTCTTAATGCAGTGGATGGATACCCTGTTAAAATTTATCTTAGAAATTAATTTAAATTATTCATACTTTTATCTATTGATAGCAAATTAATAAAGGACAGTATAATATTTAATATGTAATATTTATTAAATATCTATAAAGCAATCTAGGAATATGTAAAACAATTTAAACACAAAATATAAAGTTTGCTGAAGTAATACAAAGTACCTGAGCTAACTTGAAACTCCCTCTCTAGCAACGATGTTTTTGAGGTTACCGAGGTTACCGAGTACGCCAGTCATTTGTGGGATTTGCTTTCACAGAAATAAACAAAGGAAAACAATAAACATTCAAAATGGCTGGATTAAGAGCATTGCCACAGAGTAAGGAAGCTCTTTTGAAATCATATCGCACACGTCTAAAGGACGATGTGAAGAGTATGCTAGAGAACTTTGAAGGTAAATATTTAATCCAAATCTACATTTTAACTGAGTTTCATACATTACAACTTATTTTAACTATGCTTTTAGAAATTGTGAAATTGGCAAAGGGTGATCATGATACTCAACTATCCAGAATGGCACAATGTGAACAGGACACTTATGAAATGCATGTGAGAGCTGCAAATATTGTCAGAGCTGGTGAATCTCTCATGAAACTAGTGTCAGATATTAAACAGTATCTGATTCTGAATGATTTCCCATCTGTAAATGAGGCTATTGCACAAAATTCCAAACTTTTTAGGTTCATATGCTGCTATTTTCATTTGTGTATTGTTGATTAACTTTTAATTCAATTTTAGAACTAAACAAACTGAATGTGATCAAAAACTCATGTCATTGAGGGATGATATGGCTGCAGACTTATATGATCTTGAAGAAGAATATTACAACAGCATAAATAAATGAATGCAAATAGTTCTAAGTTGATTTATAACTAAGTTATTAAGAAACCTTTTAAGCAACATTAATTTTTATGTAATTATGTATTTTGGCGTACAATAAAATTTAACATAGGCAACCACCATAACGTCAACATACACAAAGAACCAGAAATAAAATGGCTGCGCTGTGAGTGTGTTCTGCGGTGTTTTTATAAATGTTTACATTTTTTGTTGAAGGACTTAAAAAACTCTGATTAAACAACATCCGGTCAGTGATCATCAATGAAAGTATTAATAATATCGCAAACATTGTAAGTGTTCATGACGGTCATTACTGTTTTAAAAGTATCACGATGTGTTCTCTTTTGAAATGTTTAATTCCCTACTAACTTTGATAAAAAGCGCATGTAAATATAATCTAGGACGATAAAATAGCAGTGCTTTATCAGTAAAAATAATGTTTCCTACAGTTACATCATTCAGTGATTGCTACTATGTTTAAATTCAACTTCAAACTTAAATCTTAAACATATATAACCTTACTCTGTAAATGTAATAAGATTATAAGAATTTCAAGAATTTCAAACAAAAAGATTTGTTATAATCGTAAATATTTTTTTCTAGATACAAGTATGAGACTAATGGAGCTTGGACTATCCGCCAGTAGTGAATATTCTGTTGAAATCAAGACAGAAGTTCCAAATAATGAGTGCAATCTACCAGTGACTAAAAATGTAAAAAACAGGAGAAAAGCAGCAGTCCCTTTGAGGGCATCACCATTAGGAGAGTCTTCTTTGGGTGAAGAATCACAAACCAGTCAGAGTTCACTTGAGGATAACTCAAACTCTGCAGATGAGGAAATCACCAGTGTGGAATCAAGCAACAAAACAAAAGATGAATACAAATCAAAGAGTGACATCAAATGCAATATGTGTGAAAAGCTATTCGAATATAAATCAGAGTTTGATTCACACTATCAGAATACATACAATAGGACTCCAGTTTATACATGCTTATATTGTAACAGAACAATGGACAAATATGCAACTTTTAGAAGTCATTGTTATAGGCATATCACTGAGGGAAGATTTAAGTAAGTAATTCAAATGTATTTAATTACATATTATTATAAACAATACTATATATTTTATATATTTATAGATGTGAAGACTGTGGACAAGGTTTTAAGTTGCAGAGTCAATTGCAAGTACACATTTCTGGTAAGCATGCAAAACTGAAACCTTTTTGTTGTGAAGAGTGTGGAAAACAATTTGCTACGAAATCTGGATTAAAAATCCATGTAAAACGACATCTGGGCGAAGCGAAAGAGCAATATACTTGTGCAGAGTGTGGTAAAATGTAAGTTCAGTTGGCAATTTCTATGAAAAACATTATTTTTATACTTATTATATATTATTTGAACAGTTTGCATACAAGAGGAGGTCTTACATCTCATATGAATGTTCATCGTTTGGGCAGACGGTTTATGTGTGACGTGTGCGGTAAGACGTTCACACAAAAAGTGAACATGCAACAACACGTGAAACAACACACCGGGGATAAGCCATATGAGTGTGACATATGTGGCAAAGCGTAAGTTAAATAATAACAAGTTATATTTAATTTAAAGTAACTACGTACTTTGTAATAGTTTTGCAGAAAAAAGTCATCTTTCACGTCACAATAGCTTTCACACCGATGACCGGCCCTTCAAATGCGAAATCTGCGATAAGATGTACAAAACCGAACGGTGTTTGAAAGTGCACCGACTTGTTCACGGCAAAGAACGCCCGTATGTATGCACCTATTGCAATAAGGGTTTCCTCAGCAGCACAAAACTCAAACAACATTCCAATATTCATACTGGCGAGCGCCCCTTTGCTTGCAAATACTGTGAGCGAAAGTTTACCAACTATCCGAACTGGTTGAAGCACACGCGTCGAAAACACAACGTAGATCATAAAACAGGCAAAGATCTACCGCCGAAGTATTCGCACAATTTAATTGAAACCGTTGAACTAATAATTGAAGATCCCAACGCACTCAATCATTACGATCACACACTTCCTATTCATAATAGTAATGACAATACAATAGAAAGTATAGATCCGGTCAAATTAGAAATTAAGTCCGAGATGTCTCAAAAAATCGAAGGTGACAACGACTTGCATATAGGCATAGATCCACATCCTGAAAGTTTTATATGCGGCGAGGATTACGACGATCGCTCCTTGGATTTCATCGAGTTTCATGAACCGATACATCATGATAATTTAACCACTGATTTCAAACTGAGCAAACACGACGAGTTGTATTTGCAAAAGAGGATCCTAAATTTTCCCATGACTGACAACGAACACATTTAGTTCCTTTATTCGGCAACGAAAATTTTTCTGTCGCGTGGCTGTGATTGCGATAGTAGTGCCATAACAGCGCAAATTTACATTCCAACGTTTTTTATTCTTCGAGTCCATGGTTTCGGTTCCTGTTTTTCAATATAAATGTTTTTATTAATATGCATTGAGTGTAATGCATCTGTGAAGTACTTAGTATTGTAATTACTTGTCTATGTAAGGCCCGTCGCAATTGATATTCGCAATAATGCATTACGATGTTATCCTACTAATGATCGAACTACTTAGTCATATCTAGTGTTTTTGTATGCATAATGATGCGCCAGTGATCAGGAAGCGAACAAGCGTCGGTGGCTTATTGTACTACTAGTTGTAGTTTGTATAATTACATAGCTTGTATTTTTGTAGTCAAAAGTATTTTTACACGTAGCGTTTGTACTTTTAGCGATTTAGCGATAGATTTAGGATATATATTATTCGTCGGATGTAGGATATAGCATTATTTAGCTTATAATTTACGGCCCGTATTTTGTATTGGAATTTTGCTACTTTTAGGCATAATTTTCTAGTGATATTCGGAAGTTTCGGGATTTCGACGGAAGAAAGCATTCAAATTAAACCAAATATTTTGTCACGTTTGTAAATATATTATGTGTGCGCTATGGCACATTTTATACTACTTTATGCAATATTAAACTACTTGAATTTGTAAATTTGCTTACATGGCTTTGAAGGCATTTATTTTTACTGTGCTTTTGTTCTAAACTAACAATTTGAAATTGTTTTGCTTCTCTAAATCTTAAGTTACTTATTTTGTACAAGTTATAAGAAGTATTCAAATCAAGAATTTCTTTCTGATGATAAACACTATTAAACAAACGAGGACAACCAAAATAACCATTGAAATTGACAATGACAAGACATTTCATCTGCAATTCAAATGAATGGACTTTTTAACTTCTTACTTCATTGCAACTATCGATTAAAAATAAAAAGGCGTCTGCAGCCAGCAAGAATTCGCTTTTAATCGCGCTGTGATTCGCTTTTACGAGAACGCATTACACTTAGCATCCAAATGCAGTTTGTAATTGCAGACGCATCCTGCGCGTAGTCCTGCATACTAAAACATTGTCCAGCATCACGTCGTATGCGCTTTCTTGGCAGTAACAAAGTGCGCGTTAAATTGATTTACGATTGGACGTCATGTTGATTTATGCGGGAAGGCACCATTAATAGAAGTTTCGATAAAATTGTGGTTTATAATTAAAACACGTTGGATTGGACACAATGCATTATTTAATTATGCAAACGCGGGGATATGCAAAATAATACATGTTTCATAAACAAATGACATAAGTGTATTTAATGTAAAATTTATTGTCAATCACAAATACACACAAACAGCGTATAATTAGTAAGCGTTGATTAGTTTTTTCTTCGTTTACTGCTACATTATTAAATTTAATGACCAGTAATAGATAAAATTTAAAACAGTAAATTAATGGCATGTTACAACAAACAATGCTCATTAACTCTTCTAATACGAATACGTGAAATATGCAGTAATGAACGAGAGAATCAACGATATCGTAGGGTTTGTTATTAAGCTAGTCGCTGCATTAATGGGGCTGACTTTCAATTGCAGGCGGCGACCATTCAGAGGTTGAATAGGGCGGTAGTTCTTGAGCAGTGGACCTTCATCGCAATGAATTGACTCAAATTCTTTTACCTAAACATTTGATTATTGAGTATATAGAAGATTACCTTATTGAAGTAATTCATTGCCTAGGCATTTAAATGCTAGTGACTAGGCAGTAAACTGTTACTTCATTGCTAAAAATGTAAAAATAACTGTTTCTTTACTTGTTTTGTCGATAACGTTTGTTTGTTTGTGAAAACAGTCCAGATAACAACTTCATCACATCCAGGCGTAGTCAAAGAACCTTCGTAACGATAGAATCCAGCCGTGTCACATGGTAGGAAATTCTTAGGAATGACTTCATCCTTCAAGTCTACGATTTTATCCGGATACTTGCCGATATTATCAATGATTTCCACTAATTGTTGCATGTCAGTATCATCATCTGGTGAAATCTGCACAGATAAGCACATACAAACTTATTTAAGACTTCAAACAAACAATTCACAAGGATTATTTTGAGTAGTATACATTTTAACTAACTTTAGAGTCAGAAAATTTGTTTATGATTACAAATCCTGCAACAACACGCAAATCTATTTCTAGTTTTGCAAAATGTGAAAACATTTCAATTTGCATCTGAATAAACTCGTGAATTCAGAAATAGTATACGAATCAATTTTATTACCAGCTTGACAGCTCGCAATAAAAAACAGGAACTTACATTAAACAACACTCCAAGCACAGCGAGACCATCTTTCATCTTTTTAGCCTCGGAGATATTGCCGTGTCGAGCGTCATAGTGCACAAGGTGAAGTTCTAGAGGATATCGTTTACCGTCGATTGTATGTTCAGATTCCCAGTGGAAGTGCATGTGGTCCAGGATAAATTCACTGGGCAAACTACCGCCTTTTACAGATGGAAGTCCAGTGAGTTGTTTGAATCGAACTTCGACTGAATGTTTATTGTTTTTCATCGTGACAGGGTATGATTTATCGTAGTTGTTGAACTGGAAGGCGTTGAATGATTTTTCGGTGGAGGCTTTTTGAAGGAGGTTGATGGGCGATTGAAGTTTGCCAGTTGAACATACTCCCGGCCATTTTTCTAATAAATAAAAAGTGTTTATTTAATTAAATTGGGATTTACTTGTCAAAATTTTGACCCGAATTACCTTTTTTAATTAAAATAACTTATTTATACTTATTTATATTAAAACTTATTTATAGTAAAATCTTTTTTTTTTTCTGCCATAAAATAAATTTTAATTTTTGTTTCTCTGTGACTGATGCTCTGGTTTTAAATTATATTATTGTAAACAATCAAATATTATTGGAGAAATTGCATACCCAATCGCTGTATCAAAAAGCGCTGATAACCTAACCTATTTTATGATCAGATGCAAAATTTAAAAATAAAGTAAATCAAGTAATCAATTTAAATAAAAAAACAATATTTATTTTGGTGCGTTCAATCTTTTATATCCGAAGTTTTATATGTCAACATTAAATTTATACAACAATAATAAAAAATAAGGAATATCATTTTAGTTGTGGGCAAATTTCAAAAAGTTTACATAAACTAGACTTTGACTTTGCCAAACGCAAACCTGAAAATACTTTTTGGTTGCACGCCAGTTTAGGAGGTGATTAATTACACATCACACATTCGCAGCTCACCTACACCGCACGTTAAAACATAAATACGTTCAAGTCCATCAGTTTCTAAGTAATTCGCGAAAACAAGGCATGAAACTATTTAAGAAAAACCAAATTTACTTACCAATATGACTATAGGACCAATGCGTTGATGCAACGACCACTTCCACTAAACAAAAATAATAAATCATAGTTTAAATCTTTTAGTTTGGTTTTTCCAATAAAAATAATCACAAACAGTCCATTTTAATACCTACCTGATAAAGTTGCACACAATATACTGGCAATGACGACGGTTATAAAACTCTGCACCATCTTAACTAATATATAAAAACGTTTAAAGTCTAAGTAAAAATATTTCTTGTTTCTCTTGCGGAAATCTTTGGTGAATTGTCCAGCTTTGCGTTTACGCGGCTTACTTATAAGTTTTCCACATCCAGACTCACAAATCGTAAATTGTAAATCACAAATCGGAATCGCGGATCGCGAATCTCAGTTTAATTTAACATTCGCGCGGCGCACCAGCTTATACCTCGGTCAGGATCACATTCGGACTGTGTCTGCGGGCTCACGTTGATATTGAAAACAAGGGCCACACGATAAAGCCACTTGTGTCATAGTTAAATTCGTTTTGTCACAACTCGTCAATCACCCAAATTGAGATTTATAACTTAACTAATAATCTTTTAATCCAAATACACTCGCAGCTCTCGGGTACAATCTTAAATATATATTTATTTTAGATAATGTGTAACTTTAAGATATATTAAGGAAATACTTTGATTTACAAGGTCAATCACAGGAAAATTCTATTTATTTTATAGTTAAAATTATCGTCAAATATTAATAGAAAAGTAAATTCGTTCGTATTTTATTTTATTCACGCATACGTTTTATTTCTTTCACTATAACTAAAAATATCCTTCAATAACGCGCGATCTTTGCAGAATAAATGAAACTTTAGCAACGTTGAAATATCCATGTGTTGATAAGTTTAATCAAAACTTTATTCTTAACTGACGACTATGTTTATTAATATTATTTTATTTACGTTTGTGCGATGCCGCGGTTGACCAACAAGCCAATTCTTATCACAAATTCACCGATTACCGTTATATAATGATTCAAATGTTGCGTATTCATGTTTATTTAACATTCGCAATTCACAAATTTTAATTGAACTCAATTAATTTTGTTGTTTTTATCACATTTGATTATTGTTACTTTGTTTTGACTTTACGATTATACTTAATTAGGACTTAATATTTATTAATATATCACATAACTAAAGTTGTATCAGAAAAGGTTATAAACAAATTGTTTTATTTATCAAAATAGACTGGCGTTGTGTAGAGGACGTAAGTAGGAAGTTCGCTGTGGCTGGGGAACGAGTCGAACTGTAGCAGGACAATTTATTTATTGTGCGTAATGCACTTCAAGCTCGACTTGGAACCTTCAATACAACTACAATAAACACCTAACTAAACATCTAAATTTAAACAACCTACCAGTACCTACCAACGTGTGAGCTGTTTTCTTAACTTCACTAACAAGATGAACGATTACTGTGATTACTTTTATCATTGTATAATTTTGCAATTGTTGAGATTTGAACTTGACTTATCCAGTTTAGGTTTAAATTAGTTAATAAACGTTCTTAACCGTCAACGTTTAAATGTTTAATATCATAAAGCTTAGTAATAAACTTAAATTCTCGGTTGTAGCGACCTCTGTGTATCAGCTTTGGTATTAAAAATAAAGTTAAGTAAAGATACAGTTCGATTTAACTGACTCTGAGGATATCATTGTCAAACAAGTATTTGTGAATTAATTAAAAATTAATTTTTAATCATTTAAACATTACTTTAATGATGTTATATTTCAAAATTACGTTCCTTTAATTTTTTGAAAGATATCTAATTTAACTTGAGTAACTTTGCAGTTCTCTTAAATTACTTATAACTTAATCTCTAGAGATGTCGCTGTAAACTATAAATTCTGAAAACCATGCGAATGATGTTAATCAACATTTTCTATTTCGCATAAATGTCTTATATATCAACATTTGAAAGTGATTTATATGAATATCTGAGAATTTATTTCTGCCATTAACGCAGCTTTCATCGCGCCTCATCGTTTTGCACAGTATTAAGTGCTATGCGTTAAAATACGAATGTAAAACATAAAATATCAGTTTGTGTATGTATTTATATCCATATGTTCGACTTTCAGCAGTTGTTAAACTTGCGACTTGAACTTGATTGTGCGTTCTAATAAAATTAGCGGCGTTAACGGGCCCGCCACAATCATTTTCGAGTATGTCGAGTATGTCAATTAACCGCGTGCTGAAAGCTCGCACTTTACGCAGTAAGCGAGCGCTTTATTGCAGTTTATTATGCTTTCGTACGCTACATTCGAAATCACTAATGCACTTAAGACAAACTTAGCGTACTTAAGTAGGTGCCAAACTTCACGGAGTATGATTTAAAATTAAAAGTTGAATGCAAGGTCGTTATGGATATTTTTAAATATTGCTCAAATTTCTGATTTTGGCCTGGATATTAATATATAAATGGTAAAATTATTGTTTTAGCAGGTCTTAATTTAGGTTAAATGCAATGGTATAGTTTCCACTGTAGACCAGCATACCTATTTTTAGATTATAAAATGTTTCAGTTTTGCTTTCGTTTGATTCTTGGTTAATTGTGCGATTTCTTGCCCTAGTTGCACAACCATAACTGATCACTTACTTGTAACAATATAATGTTTGATAACATGCGTAAACAACATGTTTTGTTGTTAATCCGAGTACTTACTTACTTGAATTCATCAAAAGTAATGTAATATTATATCTGCAATCAGCGCCCTCTGGCGAAATAGCTACAAAACTACGTTTTTTTTTTTGTTATCTCAAAACCAAAAATAAAACATGGAGTTTCCAACAGAAAATCTTTAAACCTAAAAGCAAAGAGTCATTATTGGCTCAATTTGTTATTGTAGCGGCGAAACAGCCATGCGTCGAAATTCCTTTCCGGATCCTAAGTCAACAACACAAATCACAATACCAAGCAGGCACGGAGCGTCGCGGGCGATTTTTCATTTTTTCTTCTTCTTTTCACACAGTTTCACTATTTCAACAGTCAACATCAACAACACCGGGGGTATTACAAGTGTTCCTCGCGTTCACAAGTGTCGAAACAAACACCACATACCTCATATTAGTATTGACTTATGTACACACTTCAGTTAGGGGGAAATATTTCGATACAATGAGAATTTCCACAAAGAAAAAAAAATTAACGCCGTTTAAACTGTTTGGTGTGTCATGCTGAAGATATCAAATTGTATATTTATGAAGTGATATGATCCAATTATCTTGACAATAATTAAAAATAATTTATTCTTATGCTGAGTACCTAAAGATGTGAAGATGTGAAGATTCATCCGGTTAGATTTCATCACATATTGTCCTCGATGTCGTCGCGTTGTCGCCTCCCGAGCGTGATTTATCGCTGAACAAAAAACCCGACTAGTTTTCAAGCCCAAGCCGCGCATCTTCCCTTCGACGTACATACGAAGATACAAAAATCTAATTTTTTATATCGCGCTACGCAACGCTTCCCATCACCGAGCGCTGGTTATTATTAGTTATTAGAAATTCTTACGGTTTTATTTCCAGCTTTGAACATTTATCGAATTCGATGCGCGCGCTTGGGAATAAAAATGGAATCAAAGGAGCGAGCGGAACTATGTGAAAAGGGATAAATTACATGGAATATATCACCTGGACGATAGCATCGCGTTGTACGAGTATTCTTCACGATGGCGTGAGTGTTATTAAAACTAGCGGTATAATAAAGATATTTCTCTGTTCTGATTCTGAAAGGACACAAAAAAAGTTAACAAAGAATGTGGTACAAATTAGTGCTTACGTCAAACTCTTAAGGTATGAATCAACAAGTGAAATCAATAAAACAAATGATTGTATGCGCTGTGCGCAAATCGCTTCAATTTTTTTCGATTCTCAGCTCGATAACGCCGGTGACTAATCAGTAAACACGCGTGCAGCGCGTCAAACGCGTGAAAAGTGAGAAATGAGCTGATAGGTATTTCAACTTGCGCACCTATGTATTTTGAGCGGTTCAACAACCCGTGTCGTCGGGAAAGATTAAGCGTTTATTAAACAGCGCGCTTTAATCCGGCCCAACACTTTTAAACTTCGGATACGTTTCCAATATTATAGATATTAGAAAACGGGTGATAACTGTAGTGAAATTATTTTAAACCAAACTATATAAAACAAGGAGAAAGTATTCATTGATAAACTTTTGATTTTTTTATTACCTAAGCTTGAAAATAATAAGTATGTGAATAATTTTTTAAAATCATCAATTTGTTTCCAATATTTGTTTTCGTAGCTGGTGACTGAGACAAATCTTCGTTACTGCATAGATCCTGCTTGCTTTTAAAGTCGTCGTTCAACATACCTCGAATGCCTCAGCGAAAACCAATAGAAACCAATCGAAATACCTAAAACGATGCAACTTGTTGCCTCTCAACTTAACGGAGTAAAGAAAAAAAATCACATGAGACGTCCAATGCATAAAATGATTCGAATGACTAATTAGACACAGGCAAGCGATATAAATCTCAAATGACAAATGGCTTAACTCGATTACGATTCGATTGCTACGGCGATGCCGCTCGATGAGTTGTTTAGATTTGGATTTAGTGTACCGATCGAACCTTACAAAGTGTTCGTATATAAAACTGCTAGACGCATTTTCATGCATGGAATTTTAATAAATCGACATTTTTGTATTTAAAAAACTTTGACTCGGTATCTTATCTGAAAAAAAAAACAAGATTTCTTCAAAGTTAATGCTCTGCTCGTTATGTCGCTGTAGAAAGCTGTTTGTCAATGTTAAATTAAAAATACCTGATTATAAAAATTAAAATACATCTTATCAAACAAAATAAAATATCACTGAGGTGAATTTCAATCATTTACCTCATCCATTTTTTAATTTTAATTAAAGGTCATCCACAATTATTGTAGTTTTTTCTTGCGGCCCTTGAGTTAATCCTGAAGCGCGCCGTGACGAAATAATTGCAAATCTGGCATTGAATTGTCGTTTTCGATAAGTGCGCTCGTTTCGCAAAAAATGTGGCGGCACACACGGTCGAGAGCATCAAATTGACATGCGACAAACCAAAACGAAGCAGTTTCACGATGTCTCACTTATGTTGAACGCCTTGTTGTTGTTGGTTTCTTGAGCAAATATATTTATCGATTCTATTTTGAATTTCTTTGTGCACCGCAGTGCGAGTTAATAATTCCAGCGTGTCGTGGCATTTACGGCTCACTTAAAGATTAAAGACTGCACATTCGCGCATCGAAACGAAGAACATTCGAAATGTGTGTATTTATGAGAGTTCTTAACCTCAACACTTTCGTAGGACTTAATTTTCAACGTATAAAACAAGAAATCAAGAAATATACCTATCAAGTTTTAAAAATTTAAATAGAATTTTTCTAAATTTATAAAATAAAGTTTGCAAAAAATGAAAATTCTGTGAGGCAGATTTAATTTGTTTAAATTTTTAGGTTAGTTCAAACAAAGCAGAAAAATTCAAAATTTGGATTTTTATAGTACATATATTAAGTATCATGTGGGTAAACGGGCGTTTTTGTCGAGGGTTTAACAAAGTTTAGTCACGTGATGCTTACGCTATTTTTTCTGCTTCCACTCTATTTCCACGTTTGGCTTTATGCATTTGAATTTTTGTATTTTAAATCTTTGAAACTCACTGGCACACTACTCCGATGTAAGGTTATAAATGCCTTACTTTAGTCACGGCCTTGGCAGTCGGAGTTTAAAGTACTTTATGTGTCTCAAAACCGAGGAAAAACAGGCGCTTTAAAAGTAAAAGGAGAAAAAGTTTATTTTAATAGCAAATGTTTAGTGTAATATCAGGAAAGACTTGATTCCAGTAATCTTGCAAAGTTTTGATGCAGACCAGGTTTTTTTTATATATGAAAATGAAATCAAGAGTTTCTGACTGCACAATTTACGCACAACGACCGAAAAACTGCATAAAAACTGGTTTTGGCCAAAAACCGATTACACAAAAGATGCTATTAAAAAATGTCTGCTACACGTGGAACAGATTTATTTGATTGCATTTTATTCGCTTGTCATTGTTATTTATTTCGGAAGCAATTCACGCGAAACCGCGAAAATAAACAATGCGACGCGCCGCGCGTTTCTGTTTAATTTATTATACCTGATGCGTGGAGTAAAACAAAAGAAATTAAATAAAGACATCCACCGGAATAAATTTATATACGAATCGTACACTGGGTGTTGAAAAAAGAAAACAAGAAATTTCATTTTAATTTCTAAAATTTCAGATCAGATCAAAAATTATTTTAAAGTTATTTAAGTTGAATTTGGTTTAAAATGTGTTTTGGACATAAATTTAGAAGAAAATGTGTATTGTTGTTTAAACATGCAGTATTTGATTAAATGCAGATAAAGGAAAACTTACTGCTCACCGTTTCGTGCGGGCGAAACCACACACGTTGGCCGGTGCAGTTTCTTCGTGTTTGTGTGTCTTGACTATAATTAAATTTAATTATAATGTCAGTGGACTGTCTAGTATCATACAGCAGATGAAATGCAATCTTAATCTCGCACATAGTCATCGAACTGTCATCAATATTCGCCTACTACTGCAAGCTTTATGAAACAGGCATCACTACAAAGTAAAAGCGATATAAATCTATTGTATTAAAAATTTAAACATCAAATCATAAGTAATTATATGCCTAGGCAGTTAATTATTAATTCACTGATGATTTTTGTTACTTTTCTAAAAATCTTCACTAAAGTTTCTACATAATTTGGTCGTGCGTAAGTTGTTATGAATCGCATTACTTTGAACATTTAAGCACATCACGCGGATAAATAAATTCGCGCACAGAATGTTAGTGTAAGTTTAGGCGGATTCGGAAGTGCTGGAATTTCATTGGAATGCGATTAGCAAAATATTTGCATTTGCGCCCGTGAATTTATTACAGTCGATGATGCCATGAACAGGATTTTTTTGTGCGCGTGAAATTCTTGGTGGTCCATGTTAAGTAAATATTACCCCATAAAACACAATATCGAGTATCATCGAGCCGAAACAGACTATAATTATTGCCATTATAAGTTGTTCCAACTTTCAATAAAACTCTAAAATGGCTAACTCGTTGGCGGCGCAAAATTTCAGATTCGCACATCTCGCACAATAAAACTGTTCTAAGAAGCAATTTGTCGACGTATAAATAAGACGTCTGCGACGGCCGGCGAGAGCGGAAATTTATCGGGATGAAATTATCGAACCCTCATTCGGACCGTGCGTTCAACCGAAATCCACTCGCTGCAAGCAAGAGTATTGTCCGCGTTTGGCACTGCCAACGAACGGCCAACAGTAAATTAAGCAATTTTCTAATTAATAGCCGCATCCACATATATATATTCGCATAATGATAGCCAGTGTGTCATGAACCGTTCCAACATGAAAATATGTTTCCTTAAAAAAAGTTCAAAGTTCTCGAAATTTTATTTGCTTGTTGATGAGTGGCATGCAATTTGTGAAATGAAAGTGAATCACACGAATCATATGAAATTAAGTAATGGCTACGTTTTTTTATGAGGCGATAAAAATTTAAACATGTTGACATTGACATTGAGCATTGTGCTTTGTTCATTCACTAGTGTTATAGGTTTATTTACAATATTGCGAGCACGCATTGCATTCAGTGTCGAGTGCGTTATTTTTGTAGTGGAAGTGCAAGTGCAGTCACTTTTGCGATTTGTTTTGTTATGTTTTGATTTAATAACTTTGAGTGTGCAAAGTTCAAAGCTCTCAATCATATAAACAGATTAAAACATAAAGAAATGAATGATTTGTGAATTTTTGCATATTTTATTGTAAATTGGGTTGCATACAATGCAATTTTTACCTTTTTAACCTAAAAAACTGAAGCTACTTAGGTTATAACTGAATAACTATTAAAACAACCAAAAATTGTTGACTTATTTTAATAGAAAAATAATTAGAATTTTCCGGAAATTTTTCTGGTTATGTTGTAGCTGAATCAGAAACGTTGAATTAAATTACAAATTTTATTAAATTTAAAATAATTACTTATGTAACTGTTGAGTTATAAGAAAGTTGCATATCGTAGCTCCAAGGAGTGAATGGTATGGCAAATTGTTATGACCATAATCGCGCATTAATTCCGCTTTAATTTCGCGTCTCTTTCCGCTTTACGACGCTGAAGAAGTATTCGATTACACAAATTATCCGGTACACTCGGCTAGCGAAATCTAATTGCGCACAAACACCTATAAATTTCTCATCCGTTCCATGGCACCAGTTTTTATTGCCGACGCAAAACACGAGCCGCACACGATTATTATTATTACGAGTAATGCACTCTAATAGAACCTAGAGTACTTACAGCGACTACTCCAGAAGGATTTAAACTTTATGTCATAACTTACCGAAGATAAAATGGTAAAACAACATATATCGATAAGTGGAAGATCTGTTGAGGAAGAAAATGCCCGGAAGCTCTGAGCGCCGCCGCCGCCTTCCTTCGATCCCATCAAGTTCTCATATATGGCGCTTAATTTTAGGGTGCGTATTATATTATAATCATCTTCAGCATACCACCAAGTGTTTTAAATTACATTTTAAATTAAACCAGAGTAAATTGAACATGTTTAAAAACATGCACTTTATTAAACTAATAAACACACTGTAGATAGTTTAAAGTTTATTAAAGTGTATATGATTTATTTGATTTAAGCAATTTTTAAAGCGTGATTTATGTTTCTTTAACATTTTTAAATCGTATCAAAATTTAAAAATAAATTGATGCGATTTTCTTGTTTGCGAAAATGTTTATGCGACAAAGCTCTCTGGCAAATGAAATCTGTAACGCTGCATAATCAGAATCGTCCTGTTTGTCGAAGTTTATTCAAGTGAAACTCTAACATAACATTCAAATATGACAAATTGTTCGTTTTTTGTTTTCTCTTTCTCGGTTATATGTAATAATCAAATCTAATTTGAATTTATATGTTTATATACAGTGCGTCAATAGAGCCTGAATAGTTAATATATGATAATGCAAAAATTCCAACGCAAACTGATTTATTTACTTGGTAAACTTCAAGTGAAACTGTGTCAGGTTTTGCAATATTTTCTATGATAATCTAAAAATGTGTTAAGGAAACTTACTGGTTACAATGTTGCGGACCTTCTGTTCAGACATAAAGTCGTGAAAATATCTTCGCTGGTATTTACTGAGTGACATAATATTATAATAGTACCTATAATCTAAGAATTATTTTATTTGTTTTGTAAAATTTGCTAATGTATGCAACCCAAATAACGCGACGTATTTAACTTGTTCCAGAAGTGTCACAATGTTCATAAAACTTGAATGCGTTTTATTATTTTAGAGTGTAGGTAATATCTCATCCAATTGGATAACTAATTTTGTTTCGAAGATATAGAATATTTTAATGACAGTTCACTGCAGCGCCCTCTATACAATTTTAAGCAAACTTATAACATAGTTGGCCGAGAATGTGAGGTTGGCAGGCTTGTTTGTTTCCCTAACCAACAAAAAGTGACAGTTACTTTAACAAAAAGCAGAATACAAATCAAATATACCAAAACAATACAATAATTGACATTTAAATACTATTGAATAATAACTACCTATTTCACTCAAATATCGTGCACATGTAAATATAAACATTCCAAACAAAACATACTCTAATCAATGATCTTGGAGGTGATAGAAGGTGATCGAAGCCGATATGTGACTGATATGAGTAGATTGGTGGTGCGTGGGGATCTGCGGGTTCGTGCCAGACGATACACGCGTCTCTCGCGCGGTGCTGTCGTGCAGGCCCTCCTGAAGCAGTCACCGCTCGCCGGCCGCGTCGCGCTGCCGCATCCATCCGACATGCCGCAGCCGCAGCCGCACCAGCCTCTCCTACTACGCGCGCGGACGCCGACCAAGACCAAGACGCGAGCCTTCACTCGTAATCGCCTGCCTAATGGACGCGCGCGCCGTCTGCAGCGCAGCCAGGACGAAACCGCCAGCACCGCCATCAACTTCCTCGACTTCTTCTCCGGCGGCTTTCCGCTAGTGCCGCTGACTTCCTTGCCTTGAAACTTTTGTTGCAAACTCGACAAACTCTACATCTAAACTCATTTTGTGTGTGAGTGTGATAAACTTCGCATTTATAGGATAATCGAATTCTTAAGCTAAGATAAATTAATATAAAGTGCCATTGTTAAGTTACCTCAAATTTTGTGAAGTGTGAATTTTAATCATTTTTGGTGTTTTTTTTGGCGGCGCATGACGAAAGTTTGCTGGATTTATCCAACGCGGAAGAGCGTCATTAAACCTCTGCAGGGCAGTGATGAGGCAATGAGGGAATGATGCAGTGCGTGTAAATTTGTGTGTGGTTTATATCAGCGCTTCTGTTTTCCGCCAGCGAGTTTACTTGGGTGAGTTTTTTAAACAAGCACGCCGGCGAGCAGGCGCTCAAGAAAAAAACGCCAGAAGTGCCGCGCGCACCAACGGCTCAATTTTTCGTATTTATAAACTCGCGCAGCGCCTTTTTTACACCCTTGAAATTATCTAAACAAATACAAGGTGCATGTCTACGCGAGTCAATCATTTCGATCATTTGCCAGCGTTTATATACAACTTTTAGTATCTACGAAAATATCTAATTTTTTTTTTGTATCATTAGAACACAGTGTATAAAATTTCTTGTTTTTGAAAGTGAGGCTTAAAAATGAAGAAAAAACTTACATATTTGCATCTCCGATGGGTATTTATGCAACGCTTTATTATTGATTCTCTCGATCCGCTGAATCGACGCATCGATGGCTCGCAAACGAGATGTACACCTAGGCATATAATTATGCTAAACATGGCCGCGTAGTTTTGTTTGTTTAATCTGCGTCGACGCAGAGTAAATGCCAAACGAAATTCCAACTTTACAAAAAATCAAAAAAAAAAACTCCGCACAACTTGAATCTTGAATTAAAATGTTAATTTTATAGTTTTTGGCAGTCAGTCAGCGCAATAACACCACGATAATGTCCTAATAATGTCGTGATAATAGCGGATAATAGAACAATTTGTCGAGTATGAAGAAAACTCGAAGACAATCAGGTTCAACTTGTGACAGTTGTGAATGGTTGACCGTTCGGATAGTAAAATATTTTTATTTGACATTTTTACGAGCGCTTTTATGCATGGCAGTCCTGCAGTCCTGTCTCTTGGCGGGGTCGGGCGCATCGAATGCGTTAAACAACCGATGCGCAGCGCTACTTATAAATTTCACGATTGTTTCAAAATACTACTTGGACTATACTCGAGCTACTCGACGTTGATGTCCAACACCCACACGTAAAGGGTTTGCGGTACGCTATAGTAATAATAGTAGCAATAATAATAAATAATAAAACTTGGATGCCAGCCTACTTAAATCAAGGCTGTGCATTTTAGAAAATGAGAAAATTTTCAATACAATAATGAAATATATCAACAAACTATTGTTGCCAAGAACTTTTCAATTACTTTAGAAAATAAACATTAGGTTAAATTTAAGGTTGCATATAATGCACTGTATTGTGGGTTGCCTATAGTTGAAATATTTTCCTTCTTTTTTTGGTTAAGCGTTAATGTTTTTAAATGTAATTGCCACAACCGCAACGCAAGCGATTCCGACTTGACATAATAACCTGCGGTCACACTTGCAACGCTTTCGCACGAACAGAAATAAAAATAAAATGCATGTGCGAAGAAACGCACTCATGAGTTTAGTATGTGTACAAAGTATAAATTCTTAGAAGACCGGGAAGAAGAAAAGGAAGAATATGCGATTATGGACGAAAAAAAGCTGATAAAAACGAGGAGTCAGCTTTAACCACTGACACAATTTCCTACTGCCACATATAATACCAGAACTTTACTTAAGTTAAGTCAGTTGCGCATTATTATAAAATAATTTTTTAATTTATGAAAGAAAAATCAAATTTTTCACATTTTTATCTTATTTTTGCTTATTTTAAATGTCAATATTAAAGTGCGATGTGTAGATGTATGCAACAGGTGTCACCTCAGGTGGATTCAGGTGTAGGCGACTTATTTACGAGCGTAATTTATTAATATATTAAGAACAGCTAACATTCGAGGTCTTCGTTTCAACATGATCGGCGAAGCGACTAATCAAAGACGCTAAACTTGCCGAAATGCCAAAAACTTAAAAATATTCATCACTTTATTATGCAAAATCATCAAGTTCCGGTGCTTAGACTCCGTCGCAACATATTGTTGACAGTTGACATTGTACCCCAACACAATATATTTCTTGTGTTATATCATGATTATCTACGAATTTATGACGCCGCCATAAACGTATTCAAATAGTTTTGCTCAATTTAACAAATTTGATCCATGGGAATGTCGGCTTTGAATATTTGTAAATCATTCGTTGATCAGTCGGTGATTTTCTCCACAGTTGTCATATTTCGGTGCTGGAATTTGCATCGATTTATGGCTAATGGGATTTCGGCCTGGGTGTCGCGCGTATTTCACGGCGTGTTGCGTCAAAAGTAGTCGCTGTCTAATTGGACCACGAATGCGGGCATGCCGATCTAATCTTATCTGACGAAAGTCTCAAAAAAGTCCTACACAATTGCGAGAAATAAATAAAACACAAACACTGCCGACAAAAAAATGGTTTTATGTTTTGTCACGTCTCAAATGTACAAATTATTATTTACCAACATGGCGAAAATGTATAAACATATTAGATAAATAATTTATCAACGTACTTATGTCAATTTAACAAATAACTGTAATAGTCATTATTTTTTCAACATTTACATATAAAGAAACAAGTTTGAATTTCAATGCATTTAAAATTTTTTTTTTATTTTGATAAATCTATAAATCTGCAACAATTTGAAACGCATTGAATAAAAATCGTTTTTAAATGAAGTTGTTGAAAGGTTTAGTATTTTTCCAAGAAGTTTTAAATACTTTTCAAGTCGTAAAGTCGTTTCGCTTATATTCATTCTCAAAAAACCGTGAATGCAATTGCAACATTTAAATTAAACGCATTTCGCAAATGAAAAAAAAACCTTATAAGTGCGCAATATTATTATTGTCGTGATTGTAACTTAATACAAATTACAAATATTACGAAAGGTATGTGCATCCTGTCTTACGCATTTGATAACCATCTATTGATAACAAATTCACATAGGTCAGTGACTTAATAATACAACAAACACCGCGTGAACAATGCGAACATATCGATTACAAGTTAAAACCGCTTGATGATAACACAAATTGACATTATTATTGTTTATTACAATCGCATACCATTCAAATTAAAACTAAAACAAAACGATGACAACACTAGAATAAATAGCATGTTGATTCGTGAGAACAAAACCCGAAATCAAGCGTTTAGCGTGGGGGTGTTTAAAAACTTATAAATTACAACTAGGAGACCTTGGCGTGAGTACACAGCTCAACGTGGTTCGAAAGTAATAAATTAGTTAACACCCTTGTGTCTTTGTCGCACTCATCGGCTCCAAATGAAGTTAGAACATCTCTAAACATGTTTAGTAGCACATTCGGTGCTAATATGTTTTCTTCAGAAGGCGCTTCTGTTTGTGTTTACATATTTATTTTTTCTTATTATTGTTATCATTAGATGCTTCAAGTTTTGAAGACGTATTGGAAGAAACGTGAGAATCGGAAAATTTTCCAAATTTCGTAACTTTATATTTACGCAGCGTCTAAATTTAAATATGAAAATTGAAAACGCTTTGATGCAGACGAATGTATTACATTTAATATATGGTAGGCGCCGTCGATCGTGATCCAAATAAAATGTAGTAGGTAATAGTCGCGCCGACAAGATAAAAATAACTGATCAAATCGCCGGAGACGCATCACGAACACATCCGCGTTATCTATTTATAACAACAGCACCCAATTTTATACACTCTTAACATTTTCTCGCTTGTTTACATTTGTACCAACGCAAATGCATTTATTATTTTTGTTTTATCTATCTGTATTCTCGAGTGATCAGAAAAAAATTGATTTTAATAGTTTTTGGACATAGTTGATGACATATGTTCTGTCCGAGAGCGTAAAGCGCGCTCATTATTCAATCGTCGAATGCTGACGTTGAAGATTTATCTCCTTCTGAAAAGTGTAACTGGAGCTGAAACGCTTTAACTTTAAGTACGCTTAATGTAGATCTGCACGGCTGTGCGAATCAAAAAAGGAGCAAACAGGAGCAAAGTTGTGAGTAAAGCGAGCGTGAATTGAATATCGTGTCTATATGCTTCCTCGTCTGATGAATTTTTCGTCTGTCGTAGAGTCTAGCCAAGAGTCAACTTTCTAGACTACTGACTTCAAACTAGGCTTCTTAAATACGCCGCAACATTTTCATCCTAGGATCATTTAATTATCATATCATTTTCTAGTTTGCGTTCTAAATAGTGAATTAACACACTTTTCATGCACATAATTCAGAAAATATTACTAAAATTTAGGTACTTTAAATTTTCAAACAGATTAATGAACTACACTTGCGCCATCTTGGGTGTTAATACATAAACTAATTAATTATTTTCTCGAAAACTCAATTATCTACAATTCAAATGCTACAAAAACATGCAATTTCATCACTTCTTGTTGCTGTTGCATCACAAAATGTGATTCTTGTTGATTTGCGATTGATGTAACGGCAAAGCTCAGAAACAATGCACATTCATGTTGAAATTATGCAAACAACAACGCAGCATTCGCATTTGCGTGCGAATATTGGCGAGTATTTACGATTACGTTTACGATTCCTGCCAAAAACCACCGTGTGCCGAGTTTGTACAATGTACGAATTTTCCTCGAACGCATAGGACGCCGAATGCGTGTAATAATAAGATTTACGACATTATTATTCCATGATTTCCATGAACCGATTCCGCAACGTCCCAACAAAAGATTATTCCAACTTGTGTGTTGGTCGAACACGCACTTTATCGCTTTATAAACATCCTAATGCATACTGCTATTTATATGTCGCGTTTCTACTTCGATTGAATGTCAAATATTGCCAACGCATTACAATTTAAGGTTAACTTAGTGGGTTAGGTTGGTTTATCACGTGTGATTGTACTCTAGCCGTTTGTGACAGTCACTTGATTTATTTATAGTCCTAGGCACCTAGGGTTTTATTATTCACGTGCGTTTATTGTTCTCAACTCAATCTCCACATGAAACATAACCTCAAACTCGTTGCAATGCGATTTGCATTTAATTTTTATGCCATTTCGTCTAGAATCAAAGATGTTCTCTAGTAGTGTACCCCGTAGGTATATTTTCATAGTTTGGTTTGGTTTTAGTTTGCTTTTGGTTTCGGCGTCGTTTTCGCGCACGCACAATAATCCATGTAATTGTTGTCGCGGTT